AGAAATTGCTGTAGACCATTCCCTGTTGCCTTGTTGAGCTTGTCTAGGCCTATCACGTCTTTCGGCACTTATAATGACTATGCCAGACCCAATAATGTCTATCATAAACCCAGTCTCATCAAAGTTATAAATATCCGCGTCTTAGATACCATGTTTTGCGATTGCTGCCACAACTTGGCAAAACCACGCGCGATACGCGTCTGAATCTTTGTTCAAGACCCTCTGGTAGTCCATCCTCCGATAAAAACGCGTCCGGAGGCCTGATGTGCGTTTAATGAAGTTGGGCATCCTGTTCTTTTTAACGCGTCCATCCCCACGCGCTGCCAATAATTGATTTGCCATATCTTTAACATAACTGTGCTGGTGTAGAAATGCTCGCACATCCAGGTCAAGAATGAAGGAAAGAATGGCATTCTCTTTGGAAACCGTAAGTTTCAAAGTATTGGGTATGCTATCGCGTCGTGATGGTCGGCCGGCGATTCTAGTCTTCAAGGTATTATAAGGGACATGGAAAGTCTTAGAAAGCTTGCCAATGGTAATATGAGGGTCGCGTCGCTTAGCTTGGACAGCAAGCTGTAAGTCTAAGTCTGATTCGCTATAACGCAATGCCATTATTATTAGTTGATCAATTAGGAGCCTTGATTGAAAGGTTAGGTGGCTGGTGAAAAGTTGCCGTACGCTTGTAATTGCCGCTCGCTTGTCATCCACGTTAATCGTATTTTACAATTTAAATACAGGACCAAATGTAGTTTATTATAGGGCAGCTTAATATTTAGCTTTATTAACGTGGTTTTAGAATTTTTCACTAAGGTTTGATTATCAAATATAAAAGAATTAATAAAAAAGACAGAAGTTTATAAGATTGGAGTATAATAAGAGGACGATCGTTGTAACTTGCTTTTAAATATCATTTTAATATTAGTAATATTAATCTATTAAAAAGCTTACTAATTGATATTTAAGTTCTATATTCAATACTTAATCTAATTTATAAACTTTATATCACCTTTTGATTTAATACTAAGCTTAGAAAAAGAGTTAAGTCTTTTTTTAACGCGCAGGGTTTTTAATAGCTTAAGTATTTTTCGTTGAAAAAGACATTTTTAAAAAAGTTAAGTTGTTATATATTAAAGAATAAGTATTTATCAAAGCTTATTTTTAAAAGAAAATCGTTTTAATAAACGCTAATATTTTAGAAAGGATTACGATAAAGGTTAGGATGAGAAGGTTATCGGTTGGACGGTACTTTCGATATTATTATTTTTATATTCTTACTTATCGTAGTGATTATTCCATGTAAAGATAAAAAGTTATGCGGATACTTGTTTAATTCAATTAATACGTAGTTATAAATTGAAATAGAGTAAAAGGCACGGTTATATTGCTTTATTAAAGAAAATAACGTAATTTTAGCTATAACGCGTAAAAGTATTATTAAGAGATTTAAGGCGTTTTAAAAACGTACTGGTTATAATATTTTATCGGTAAAGTTTTAAAAGTTTAATTAAAGTGGTGGAAAAACAGGTGATTAATTTAATTACAGTCGTATTTTAATATATAACAAGGTATAACTAAAACACTATTAGCGGATAGTGTTCGATACGTAATACGTGTTTTTTCTACTTTATTTAATAAAATTAAGTGTATATTTAAGTAAAGGTGTACTTATTAAGATACATAGGTTAGAAACCGAAAGAAGGATAGATTAATCCTTATTGTAATAAGTATTTACCGAGTCTTACTTATTAAGGTATATATTATTTACCGAATGTAAGTCGTTAAAGTAAACGCGTTAATAAGATCAATTTAAGATATTCGCTACGAGTAAGTCTTTTAAAAAGACGTACTAATTACTAGATTTAGTATTATGTTTTATCAAAATTGCTAGTAATTATAATGAAAATTAAAAAGACATGCTACTATATAAAGCTTAGTATAAGTCTGTATTAGTATATATATGCGAGTCAAAAATCTTGAATTAAAAGGATCACAATAGCATATACTTAAGGTATATACGGCATTTATTTCCTTATATTAGCCTTTATTTACGCTATTTGTTTAAATAAAATAGGGACTTCATTTATATCTCTTAGTAACTTATATTAATAACAATCCTACGGTTTAATATATTAATATAAAAATAGCTTTAAGTAATAAAGGCGCCGGTTTTACGCATAAAAATAAGGTTAAAAACGTTGCCGCTTTAAAACGTAAGAATAACGCTTTTAAAAGTAACGACTATAAAGCTACGGTAAACGTATTAAAAGGAAAGATACTTTTTAACTTTAATTACGGCGTTTTTATAAAAAAAAACTTTAAGTGATAAATATCTAAAAAGCGTTTTTTTGAAAAAATCAACTTAATAGTAAATATAGTTTTCTTTTTCTAACGTCATATTTAAAAGTATTAGTTAAAAACTAAGTATCAGTTAATAAAGCGCGATTCAATTGAAATAGGTAACGTTATTGAAATAATATTGAAAAGAGACTAATATAGTTAATTAAAGGCTTGCATGTGGTAATTAAGTAACGGATAGTTCTAAAAGTATATATAAAGCTAAAAATAAGATATAAAGATTCATGTTATAAAACGACTATTAAAAGTATTATTACAATAATAACTGCCTTATTTACTACATTATAAGATTTATAAACATAGTAATACGTAAGAATAACGTTAATAACGTTATAACGAAATCGTAACAATAAGCCCTTTTTTCGCCGGTATATAAAAAAGGCTAAAATTTAAAAATAACGTTTACGCTTATTCGTTTTTTTATTAAATGTCGATTTATACGCTTCAAACCGATTTTATTAGCAAATTTTGAAGCCGTATTAATAATAGTAAAACAACAAGCTTATAAAAAAAATTACGTCTTACGTAGTAAAAAAGGGCGAAAATCGATTATTTATTAACATTATAACTGAAGAAGCCAATTTTAAAATAACTATTTTAGGCCTTTATAAAATAGCAGCAAAAATAAAAGCGATTTAAATAACGGTAAAGGAAAAAAGGCCACGTTTTTAAAAACTACTTTACGAAAGCTAAATATAAAGCAGCGCTTTTTAAAAAGTTAAAAAAGTTTGCTTATTACTTTTAAAGTAACGAGGTCTTTGTTGGATCTATGCGATTCCATCCTGCAAACCATCTATACCAGGACCCACATGTATGATTAGATAAGTGATTAGATACCGGATTGCGAGGTCACTTAGCCAGACCTTCAGGTCCAGCTAGACCTCCCAATCCAACCATCAGCAACATCATGACCTTGACACCATACTCGAGTATTATGATTGATCGTTCAAGCCTGTTCCAACAGTCTTTAAATTTAAATGATAATACCATAATTTTTGAATAGTACAAAAGCCTTTCAATAATAAAATATTTATAAAAACTTTTAATAGTACGATAAAAGCCTTTTCATAAAAAAAGCACGTAAAGAAGCCTTTTCACGACGAAGATTACGACGAAAAGTACGTAAAACACGATATAAAAATCATTTTTTAGAAACAAAGTATATATATAACGTTAATAATAAAATAAGATATCCTTTTATTTTAATTAAAAGTGACAACGGTAAAGAGATACTATTATAAAAGGCAGCTTAGCGCTTACGTATTCAAATAATATTATTACTAAAGGATTTTAATTTTTATTCGTTTTTAAGTCATTTAAAACTTTATTTAATAAGTTTATACACCTTGTATAAAGGCGTATTAAATAAGATAATTTGAAGTAAATATTACGAATCAACGAACAGTGCGGCCTGATAGCAGACCTAGAAGGGACGATTGGAAACAGATTGACCAGAGAGTGGGGTGCTGATCAGTGGAGAGATCGGAGCAACGGAGCAACAGTACACAGATCGCGTGACCAGCAGGACCTGGGTCACGTGACTAAGAATTTGGATCACTGGATCACCATGGTGAGCCAGTGAGCAGGATCACCTTGGATCACCGGCGATCCAGAGCGAGTCACCTAATCAGTGAGGGAGAGATTGGATATATAAGGACAGACATTTCCCAGCTAGATAGATAGACAGTCTCTGCCTCAGTGATCAATCTAAGTGTCACGGCGAGCGTACTGAGGAGCTGGGACATGGCCTGCAGCAAGCAGCTATTACTCTATTGACGAGAATATCAAGACTAGAGAGGAAAGGAAGAGAGAGAGAGATAGGTACAGTGGGAGGTTGCCCCTTTAAGGGGATCCTCTGGTCAGATCCTTCCCCTATTAGGAAGTATCCACTTGTCATGTGGGAAGGTCTGTGCAGGCCGTCACACTAAGCATCTTAGCCAACCCTAAGGTGGGAGAAATCTCCTGACGACTCGACTATACAGTGAACCCAGTTCAGACCAAGCCCCAGCATCTGAGTGTCTTCTAGTTGACAGAAGCCTCTATCGTCCTTTGTGTTGACTTACCACAGAACGTAAACCCTATAGAACCCTTTAGCCTTATAGGTTAGACGGCTCATCATAGTATATAGTTTTTAAATAATCTATATGTACGTAATAATAATCGGGCGTTATATAATAACTTAATAAGTAGATATTTGAATAACGGTTAGTTAAAGCTTGAAGCCATATATTTAAATAGTAATACGTCTTATTTAAACTATTAACGCGATATAAATAAAGAACTATCCCGATTTTAATCTATCCCTTGTTTTAACCCTTATAAATCTTATATTAAAAAATATACTCGCGCCTTATAAAATCTAGTGTATAAGGTATATTACTTTATAATAATTATAACTTTGGTTTTCTTATAAAGAGGAGGTTCATAAGTCCTTGTCGATCGGGCGATTAATATGGTTAAAAAATTCAATATATCTACGATACCCACGTCAATATCAACCCACGAAAGCCTCGTCGTTAAGTTGGTTGCTAAGGCGTAAGGGTACTAGTAGATTAAGTTGACGTGTATATCCACGTCAATATCAATCCACCGTTAATATTCGTTAAGTTGTTCGGGACCTTGCACCTTGCAGGTTCGCAAACCTTATGAAGCACCCTGGACTTCCAGTACTGATGTAATTCGAAGGATATCGCGGCCAAGGTCTACGAGGTCAACCCCAACTCCTTATTCGTCATTCCCCGGGAGAACTCTTCCCAACAGATGTCACAGTAAGATCAGCATGTATATTTAATCCTACTGTTGGCCATTAAATGGTCATAGGAAGTGTCTTGCGTCTCAGAACTGACATACACAACTGCAGTGTCGCGTCTCCTGCTTGTCTGACCTGCAATGCTCGACCGATGCGGCGCAAGCCGGCGTCGAGAAGCTGCGCGCATCGCCCGACGAATGCAGTACTGTGTCAAACAAGTGCACCAAATTCGCCTGCGAGCGCGATGCGGGTATCGTGGTGTGCAACGACACGCCGGCGCCGTACACCATCAACTGCCATTGGTACGGCGAATTTGCGCAGCTGGTGGTCGACGCATGCAAGACCAGCGGAGGAAAGACGGTCGCATGTGTCCTCACGGAGGATCTCCTGCAGTTTCATGTCCAGGTTAGCTAGTTGAAGGGCTGCTAGGTGAGCCTGGGAGAGGGTGTATGGAGGATGAGTAGGTCGATGCTTGATGGTGCAGGAGCTGGCACAGGTGGCCTGTCTCCGTACTACTGTTTTTGGGTGACCTTGTAGTAACGTCGATGTTGTGAACAACACATTCATGCACTGCGCAGGAACAGCGAATGCATTACGGCCAGTGAATGTTTGAGGTCATGACTCCGCTGAAGTGTTCTTGCTGGTGACTCTAGAGTGACTGTCATGGCAGACCCACGACAATCCTGGCGAGAGGTTGACATTACTTGCCTCTGACTAGCAACTACGCCAGGAGTAGGTTTGCTATAATCAATGAAGTGCCTGGCAGTTCTATAATTCGTTTCATTCTCTGCGGCTATGCTAGGGTCGTCATATCCCACTATGTTTCGACACATGTGTCGTTTCCGGTAGCCCATGGGCAATGCTGTGATGGCCCTCTGACAAACCCAACTTGGACAACGTGAGATCATCATCAAACTGTCCAGCCAGCAGTCGCAAGTTGAGGCTTACGCGTACATAGGTGTACTTGCGCGAACTCAGCCGGACAAACCACCGGCGGTCCCTGTCTAAGCGCTGTGGCTTTTGATCTGGCTGCCACGCGACACATGAAACGTCGCAGAAACGTTGGGGATGGCAGATCTGGCGCAATGACGAGAACCCCTGGGGCCGATTGGCCCAGACCTGATTCTCTCAAGAGTACCGCATGGACGATATCGAATGACTGGGTGTTTCCTCTTTCTTCTACCTCTTTTGTCATTTGAAGAGCAAACATCAGGCGTCGTCAATTGAAGTCGAGACACCTGACGCGACTGAGCGAGCCCACACAGACACCATGAAGAACGATCACAGAGCACCGCTGGACCGGTACCACAGCATCCACGCAGAAGACCACGATGACTCGGTGACAGATGTCGAGGAGACGCTCGACTTGAACGAGAAGGACTACATGCACCACTCCGAGCGGCCCAAGGCGAACCAGGTCCTCACTGCGTTGAAGTCTCATCGGTGGCTGGTGGACACATTCTTGCTACTGGTTGTGATAGCTCTGCTCTTGGAGAAAAACTGGGCGCATTGCAGCAACAACCACTTCTTCGAAGGCGCAGGGGATGTGACAGGATTTGCACCTCAATGTCAGTTCGGCCTCGTACGAAAGCATGTTGGATCGAACCAGATGCTGACTGTCTGCCCCGTTCCTCAGTCTCACAGCAAGTCAAGTCGTTCTCCCCAGATCCAGGGTTCGTCCCCGAGAACATGTCCGAGTTCTTTTCCGAGGAAACACGGAAGAAGTGGCTCGACCTAGTGCCCAGTAAGTTGACGCTGCCACACTTGCGCTCGGCGACTACATGATGTCTAACTGGTCATTGTAGAGGGTCTTGGCTACCTTGATATCAAGAACCCAAAGGATTACGACAACCTGCCTACGCCGCTCGACCAGTTTACTCACCAGTTTGTCGTCACCACATCAATGACCCACCAGCTTCACTGCCTTGTGAGCCTCCCTTCTCCCCATAAGTTGTGACCGAGAACTGACGATACCCCAGTACTCCATTGCCGGGGCCTACTCAGCTCTTATGTCAGACAAGAGCCGGTTGCCGACAGAAACGTGGCACATCAGCCACTGCTTCGACTACCTCCGGCAAGGGATCATGTGTGCCGGTGATGTCGCCCTCGAGGGCGAGCAGACGACTTTCCCTAGAGGGTTCGATGGGAGCGACGGCTGGGATGCCAAGCACGTATGCAAAGACTATAATCAGGTCCTCGACTACCTCAAGAGCAACAGAGCGAACGACGAAGTCTGGATTTGACCGGCAGCTCTGATGTCGAAGACCCTAGCGATGTCATGAGGGACAGCCCAAGCCGAGTCGAATCCCAGCACTCGCTACCCACACGGTTTTGTTTATCACTGTATGCGCGAGTCTCGTTCCTTTGCACCAAAACGACCAACCTTGGGGCTCGAGCCGTGGAGCACGGTAGATACGACCGAGGACGCCAAGCTTGAGAAGGCAGCGGAGATGACGGATCAGGCAGCGCGAAGCAGCGATGTTCGCCTCATCCCACTGGCGGGTGCACCAAATACGTCCCGAGTAGCTAGGTAGCGATTCTAACTAATGAAACAATGCCATCACATGATAAGCCCGAGGCTTGATATGTGCCCGTCAGTGTGGTGGTGTCGCACAACTCGGGCTTAAGGTCAAGTACGTTTCAGGAGAATTTGAAGAGAAGCACCAGATGACCTTGAGTGATCATACAAAGAGTGCATTATGATGTCTGTCACCTGCCTGGACAGCGGGCCCCTGACTGCAAAGAGCACATAACTCATTGCGTAGGTAGGTACAGTCACTACTCATAAGTCTCCGTCCTTGCACTCGTGACACCTTTTTCTCTTAACAAGACAGATAGTGGAATAAGCAGTCATGTTCGCAAGCCCTAAAACCTAGTTATATAACGCACGAGAAAAACCAGGCGATCAAAGACTACTGCATGCAGGCTTTTGAACCGCATTCCATTAAACTTCCAGTTGGATCTTACACGGTCAAGACGTCAAACATGCAGCCCCATTCAGCTCACCAAGTACTATACCTCCCAGAACTCCTGGAGGCCATTCTGCTCCCTGTAGACATGCGAACGCTTCTTATTGCCCAAGCGTCTGTCGCATATGGCGCGACCTCATCCTCGACTCTCCAGCACTCCAGCGCAGACTCTTTTTCCTCCCCGACCCGCACGCCACACCAACCTAGAACCCAATGCTGAAACGACACTTCCCGGTCTGGTTCGAGGGCGTCGGCTTCGTCGTCGGCGATCTACGATTCATCACCACGACCGTGGGCGAAGTCGAAGGCACGTCCAGCGACCCCTTCCCCGAGCTGCCGTGGGTGACGAAGAACTTCGAAGCGTACGCACGCGGCAAGGCCAGCTGGAAGCGCATGCTGGTCCACCAGCCGCCTTTCTACGGGTTGGGGCTGGTGGTTTCTGAGAACAACCCCGAATTGATGCTAACGGACGAGGTCGTTGCAGACGGTACCGCACATGGCGACCAAAGCAACCTCGGTGCACAGCAACCCCTCAGAATGGAAGAGCTGCTTTCTCGCAGTCTGGTGCGCGTGTACATCGGCCCCACCGATCTCATCCTCAACGAGAGGCCGCTCCCGGACCATCCCGTGGAGAGCACCAGCTTCTGCGTGCTGTGGTACAAGGTGCCGTGGTGGCTGCAGCAGCGGACCATCCACGGTCAGCAGGTCGTCGATCCGGGCGGCCCCATCGAGGACCATCCGCTTCTATGGCGGATGAGGGAATTAGCGTTCCCTCGGGACAAGATAGGGCATAGTCTGTTGTGTGTCGCGTGTCGGAGGTCGATGGAGAGGTATGTGATTGTGCTGCAGGTAGATGTGTGTTCGAATCGTGCCGACACAGTGTCCAGGTGGGCTCTTGAGGTGGAGAGGATTGTTACCAGTCCCGCGGATGAGTACTTTAGTGGTGACGGACTCAAAGTGTTCGAAACAACATCGTTTCATGGACGGGTAGTTGTACCGATGAACTATCACCTAGTTCCTTAGACAACATTTGGAGAAGCTTACACGAAGTTAGACTTGAAGTCAATGAGATATTCCCACGTACTCGTACACTGAATCCCCCAAGGCTCTCGGTACGCCCCTCGTTGAGTTACCCCTTTCATGTCGATCATCAGTATTTATGCATAGTGTCTCCCATCAAATCAGTTGATTGATTAATTGATTGATATCCTCTAACGACTGGAAGCCTGCTGCTATGCAGCAAGAACCAGCTCTCCCTAAGGTGCATAGGGCCGTAATAAGCTGTCCACCACATCTAGCAAGCTAAATACAGTAGGTAATACCAGTATTATACCTCAAAGGCTGGCAATCTCGTGACACCGTGTCCACTCCAATTCAGGACTTCCGGGCCTTGTGCTTTCAGGTTCCAACTAGAAATGTGATTCGGGAGCCTTCTTTCTGGAAGGGGGCTGTAGGTGTTGGTACAGCAGACGTGCTGATCTCTGAGTCAGGGGTGACGACCTCTGGCTAGGGGCGCGGGTCCGGTTCGGCAGAATAGTTTCAGTGAGATCGTCAGCCCTTGCCGCAGATTTTCGCGCGACGTGGTTCCACATCACTGAGAACCCTTCCTTCTCGAGAAGCTTGACCTCGATACAGAGTCTACGATACTCCGCCGGGTACGGGACGGGCTGGCCGTCCTTATCTCGCAGTTCCCACCTTCCCTCTCCGAGGTCCTGCGGCCGTAGACCACCACAAAATGTCTCGATGAGCTCCTCGCAAGCGGTAGCCACGACGATGCGGAATGAGAACTTGTTTTGATGATGCAGCTGGCGATTGCATGCTAGGACTTGGGCTTTGTCGGGCTTCGAGTGGTCGATGGGAAGCACCGCTGGTATGACCTTCACGCGTATGACATACAATACAAAGATGGCAGCTCGGATTTGGGCGCAAGAACCGGTAAATCGGGATCGCATTGGAACCGCAATGTGGTAACGTGATCCCGAGCCGAAGAAGGCAGACATCGCCGCCTTGTCATTGTTGTTGCTGGTGCCTGGGTACACAACGATGGCATCTTCTGCCTCGTAGCATTCTTTCGTACAAGCGTTACGGGACTTAGAGCGACCCATGGCGACGTGAGTTTGCAGCTTAAAGTGTCTGTAGTCGGTAGAGAGTTTTTCTTCTTCGGGATCTAGTTCGAGCCAGTTGAGCTCGCACTGCGCACAATAGTCCACGCATACCTCCCCTGGCGGAGCTGGCTCTTCTTTTGCTGCGCACTCGGGTTCCCAGTGCTCGATGTCGAATGGTTTGTCTCGCGTAGCTGCCAGTTCTGCCTCTAACCCCTTAGGCTCGGGTTTCTGGTCGTGGAAGAAGCCCGTGAAGAATCCGCACGGCTGGCAGAAATACTCTCTGTGGTCATGACAAACGGGCTTGCCATTCTCGTCGTAGACAACCTTGGGCTCTGGAGAGCTTACCCCCGACATCTTGACACTCTGATTGCCAAATATGATATGGCGGAGTTACCGGGACTCTAAGGGTGATTGTGTGTGGTTCGTAGAGAATATCGTCGCGAGATTCCTGTGCGAAGATTCGTCTTTATATAGGGCTCTCGTGACTCATCGGGAAAAGGTGTACGAAGGTTTCGCTGGTGCCATATTGGCGTTGAGGATGAAGGAAAAGACGAACAAAGTAAGTTCAGCCATGAGCCACCAAAAAAAAGAAGAAAACATCATTAATGTGCTCAAGGCTACGGCAGAGCATGAATTGATTCCACGAGATCGATACACTCAACTCTCATAAGTCTCCGTACGCGCACGTGGGCAAGACGCCAGATCTGTTGGTAATCATAACAGTGGCGTATTTAGCCTTGTTATGACCAGTACCTATGTTGTCATCCTGTGGGATTACATGTAGCTGCCAGAGGTACCTTTCCACTATTTAAGTGGGATGGTACCCCATCAGCTATCCTTATTCCCCTTCCAATACAGACCATCCTTAAATTTCAGAAGATCACCAGTAAGAGAGTTGGAAAGACTAGGATAAGCATACAGGAATAAACAACTCACGGTTATTATCTTGTTTTAAATGATTATTCCAACGTGTTTATTCCAATTCGATGATCTTACCGTTGTCTGCTAGAAGGGTCGTGGACAGAAATTTATGAGGGTTCTGTGTACCATCTCTCAATCCGCTGGGTTGGGAACACAAAGTCTAAAGTTACCAGAAATCGGACCATGACACACAAGGCACTTGTGTTTTTATTGTTGCCTTTCACGCCGTTCGAAACATTACGAGCACTCAGTAGTTGAAGCGTGGTGTACTTCGACAAGGAACTGTCACCAGTTCAACATGCTCCTCTTGTCACCTTGAGGAACTTTGATAAATCTCTTTTGGACTGAACAATTACTTGATGTCGCTGATCACTGACAGTACCAACACAAGCATTAGTCACACCAGTGGTGTGTAGTAGTCCGAAGCCATGCAGGCCTTTGAAGATTGAGCAGGTTCTGCGCAAGTATGAGTGATTTATGTAGGTGTTTAAGATGAGTAAACTTGGATGCATACACGACATGGGCTCGAATATGCGCTGACCTGCGAGCAGTACAAAGTCCCATGGGCCCGCGATATTTCGCTGAATATTTCCAGAGACTATCCTCACACTTCCTCCTCAACCTGCACTTTTTTGCCAGCTCTCCAGTCTCCATGACTTGTGCGATCCGAGCCAATGAAGTGAATGCTGGAGCTATGATCGATTTTCTTGTCTTGCAAAGGGGGACGCCCCTCACCACTCGCAACAAACACCCCTATCCGCTCGAGAACAGCCCATCTGAATGATGACGCCTTACTTTGAGCAAATCACCTGCTCCTGGTCAAACGGAGTGGCTCCAAGTCGCTGGAAGGCGCAGGTCGCAGCAGGCGTCTCTTCAAGCTTGATTCTAGCTTCCCTGCGGTCCTACTCCAACGCCAAGGAACCGTCCGGCAACGGCGACTTAGACAACCATGACAGGACCCGACTTTCCTTTATAGGAGTATGATGTGTCTTGGAAGGGGCTATGATCGGTGAGGATCTCAGTACTCAGCCGCTGCATTCCAACCGCGGCTAGGCCGGGGTGGTGGCGTCTTCCCCGGATGCCGTCCCTCTCCGCAGGTCTTGCGTGCCGCAACCAGGCCAATAGCTGATGATCAAAGTGCCGGCCGGAGGGAATTTCGCTCTTTGGCAGGCCTTATCAACATCCAATGCCCGAGATCTTGCGAGAATTCTGCGCTCAGGGCGGGCATATTGCAACCTCCCAGGCTCCCCAGACCCTTCGAGAACCGGACCTGCTTTATAACGTTACCCCACAGAGGAAGTCAGCCTAGTGCAGGCGCCCAGATTCCTTCGGAGCAGCAGGGCTACACCGATACGAGAATCGCCGTTACAGGACGGGGTTGGAACTCGGGGACTGGCTGAATGGATGCAGGCGGCCTGCCTGTATTATTATCAGCAACCTGCGGTCCAGCGGCGAGCACCTTCTCAATTCTGGCCCCCCTATTGCCACGCCATGATATAGGAAGAGAAAGACTACCGATTGGGCAGCTCGGGTGCGGCACGGCTTACGTGAGAGGCATCACGAATGCCGCGATTCAATCAGGGGGAACTTTGAGAGGCGCCAAGATCCAGCCAAGATGCAGGCGCAGTTCAACTGCCGGGTTCCGACCTTTGTTGTTCAACGGCCAAGCTCGTTTGCATGTTAAAGAGGCGTCCACCTACCGCATTGGTATATTGGGATGCGACGGCAGTATCTGGGCTCGCGATGCCACCGGCAGCGCGATATAGGGCGTCAAGGGTTTGCTGCGAAGCAGCGGAAGCTTATCGCGGCTGGCTTGGCCCATGATTCGGCGGACGCACAGAGGTATATAAGGAGCCATGGTCTATCATTCCCCGGTCTCTGGTATCAGACGACCATCAGCTGTGAAGGAATCGTGATCGTCTGGAGTCTTTTTCACAACCGCTCAGAATGAAGTACTCGCTGAACGCCGCCGCCCTTGCGGCCTTCTCCAGCTATGCGCTCGCCAAGGAGATGGCGCCCAACGAGGAGCTGGCCGCGTCGCTCTACGACAGCGGTGTCAGACACCAGGAGATCATGGACATCAAGACGGTAAGGGGTCGATCCAGTCTGCCCTGACATTCTCTAGAGAGGATGCGCTGACAAGTCACAGGCGTTCTGGGACAGCCGAAGACAACAAGGCCTCTTCGACTCGAGCCAGTACAAGAGCATGGACGCCGCAGTCGACTACGTCCCCTGCGTCGGCGGACTGGCGGAGCTCGTGGAAGGCGACCCCCTCTACACCTTCAACTGCAGCAACATCGACCTGTACGACTTCAAGTCGCACGCCGACCTCGGCAGCGACGGCGGCGAGGGCGCCGGCTCGTGGGGCTGGACCAGCGAGGACGGCCGCGAGTTCATGGCCGTCGGCCAGTCGGACGGCGCTGCCTTCATGGAGATCAGCGCCGAGGGCAAGCTCGTCTACCTCGGCCGCCTGCCGCAGTGGACCGAGGCCGACCCGTCGCTGTGGCGCGAGATGAAGGGCTACCAGAGCTACATGGTCATCGGCAGCGAGGCCGTCAACCACGGCGTGCAGTTCTTCGACATGAAGAAGCTGCTCGACGTCGACCCGGCGAGCCCCGTCGTCTTCAGCAACGCTGACGACATCTACCACTTCGACGGCCTGCCCATCGGCCGCTCGCACACCGTCCAGACCAACGAGGAGATGGGCTACGCCATTGCGTCCGGCGCCATGCCGCGAACTGACAAGTGCAAGTCGGGTCTCATCTTCATCGACCTGTCGGACATGGAGAACCTCGTCTCGCCCGGGTGTGCCTCGGCCGACGGATACGTGCACGACGCCCAGTGCCTGGTGTACCGCGGCCCCGACGACAAGTACGTCGGCACCGACATCTGCTACGGCTACAACGAGGACACCCTGACCATCTACAACGTGACCGACAAGGCGGCCGCGACCATCATTTCGCGCACCTCTTACGAGGGCGCGGCCTACACGCACCAGGGCTGGGTGCTCGACACCCAGAACCAGCAGTACCTGGTGCTCGACGACGAGTACGACGAGTACGACAAGGTCGGCCCGGGCGCGGCCGGCTACCCCATCACGTACATCTGGGACATCAGCTCGCTCGAGGCGCCGAAGCAGACGGGCTACTACAGCGGCAAGGTCAAGAACATCGACCACAACCAGTTCATCAACGGCGGCTTCGCCTACCAGTCCAACTACGGAGGCGGTCTCCACGTCCTGGACATCTCGTCCATCCCCGATGACCCCACCGGCGCCGGCGTCTCTAAGGTCGCCCACTTCGACATCTACCCCGAGGACGACAACGACGAGGGTGGCGGTGAGATCGAGTTCCTTGGCACCTGGAGCAACTACCCGTACTTCGCCAGCGGGTACCTGATCATTAACACCATCGAGCGTGGTGTCTACGTCGTCAAGCGAACCGACTAAGAAGGAACATGCAATCTGTGCGCGTAGCATAAGTTAAGACACAATAACTTCGGTCTCGTTCATCTTTGAGAGATGGGTATCGCAGATAATAGACAAATAATAGGCCATGTTGTCCAACACATAAGGACTTGAAGAGTACATAACCGGAAAATCTTACACGTAGATGTCCTGTGAGATTATCAAACATCCTTGCGATTGGCCGACGCCTTCCTCGTCTGTAGGAGATAATCGCCACCGCGCCACGCCTTGTAGACGCCGTAAAGCCCCTGGAATGGCCACACGGTACGAAGCGCCGACGGCATGCGCGAATGCTCTCTGACCTTCCTCTTCGCATCCTCGTCGACCTTGACCTTGTCATAGACACTCGGCAAGTGGGATGCATGGTACTTCGCGCGAGCGGCCTCGTAAGCGGGTCGGTTATAAGACTCCCAGAACTCGTCTTCTGTATAATAAGCCTGGGCATACAGCGTCTTGTTCCCTCCAAGCTCGTGGACCTTCTGCTCAATGGCCCGGTTCTGCCGCACCAGCTCGCTGTACTGGCCCGGGCCGGGACCCCAAACGCCGAAGTTCAACACGAACTCCGGGCGGCTGGGATCGGCAAAGGCGGCATGCAGGCCGTGGTTCGAGTTGGGCGCGTCTCGCCGGACGCGGATGGGGCATAGCCACATGGGATAGATCTTCAGTTCCTCGTCCAGCCATTGATGGAACACCTCCACGGATTCGTAGGGTACGCCCACGTCCTGGATGATGTACGTATCGGAGAGACCAGATTTGTGTAACGCATGGTACATCACACGGGCGTGCATGAAGGTGTCGAGCAGGTACCTTGTGATCCGGTTGAAGGGCGTCAGAAAATACCTGTAGGCGTATTTAGCTACCCAAAATCCGCCGCGATCCCACCGGAAGAGATAGTCTTCCAGTGGGACATAGTCAACAACTGGCTGGGACGTCTTCGTGGCACGCTTCTGGACATCGAGGTAAAACCATGGATCCCGACGACCCAAGTACTTCCGAGGTTTGGTCCCCACTGGAACGGCATCGACGAGGCGGCCGGAACACACCACGATCGAGTCGGCTGAGAACGCGATGCCATCCACGTAGTCGACGGTCTCATCCGCAACCTCCTCCTGTATCTTCTGGGAAGCCTTCGCAAAGTTCGAGATGGGATAATGCGTCAGCTGGACGAAGCTCTTGGCATCTCGCAGCTGGATCTCCAGCAGCGTGACGATGCCGAGCGTTCCGAACGCCGACGCCGCTCCCCAGAAGAGGTCTGGCTTGTCCGTCTTTGAAGCCCTTGCGATATCCCCATTTGGCAGGACAATCTCGATTGAATTGACAGTCGAGTCGAACGGCCCGTGGCGACAGGAACTGCTCTCGCCCGCAGAGCCGCTGAAACCCCCGCCAGCGGTGATGCCGGGGAACTCCATCACGACCAGGGGCACCAGGCCCTTCTTCAGGGCGGCCCCCACGAGCTGATCCATGGGGACATTCGGCTCTACGAGAGCAGTCTTCCTGGCCGTGTCGATTTCCAGGATACCATTGAGCGAGCTGGTGTCGACGGTGTTGTTGCGGTCTTTGTGGGCGACGCGCGTGCTGTTGGTGGAGCCATGGTAGAGCCGGAATGGCTCCTGGCGGGCATAGAACTGCTTCGCCCGCTCGGAGATGGCAAGAACTGCCTTCTGATGGGTTTCCATCTCCGCCGAACCACACGACTTCTGCTCGTCACTGGCACAGGTCTGCTGTGTTGGTATCGGAGAAGAAGGTGAGGCTGAGGAGATCGGCCAACTGCATGGTGTGGGTCAAACGACATTCAAGCCACACGATCTTACACAGCAACTAACACAGCCGCAGTGGCACATGTAAGCAGTACCGGTGCGGGTCTACTAACAACATCATCTTGCCTCGGGCAAGTCAATCCTCATCTTCGGATAGGTGATGTACGCGACTTGCTTTCCGATGAATGCCTACTTTGATGTATACAGATAGCGTTCCCACAGCCATTGAAGCCGGGTCTAATGAGAACGTATCATTCCACATTTCGGAGTCCCTGGGACCCTTTGGCTTGCCTTCGAGACGTGACTGACAGTCATGATGAATGCGCATCCTTCGCCGCAGTGACGACGGGTCTGGGCCAGGACAGCGAGAGAATCGGAGATTATGATCTGTGACTGAGTGTGTCCCTTATCAGCTACATCACATCTTCTCGATCATCGATGTAGAAGACGCAATCTTCAAGGAAATTGCTCTGGTATTGTAGTCACGTCAAAGAAAGACTGTGCCTTCCTTTCTCACCAGGAGTTTTTCGGCCTTTGGAGTAACATGATATTGAAGTACTGCTAATCAGTAATCATTACATGGGTATCTATACGCAGTGCTTCCTAGAGAGGAACCATACCATCAACTCCGTGACGCCGGGAAAGTCGTCTGTCTGAAGCCAGGTTGTATGAGCCTCACGACGACCGTGGTCTTCTATCTCTCTGTGACCTCTTCATTCTCTTGTTTCGCTTTTTCCTGACACCGACGATGTGCCGCCGTTGGAAGAACCGCACAAACGAGTCGTACATGACCTCGCGCATTAGTACAGCGATGGTAAATACTGCAAGTGGGATCGCAATTTTCCAGCTACGCACGTCAGTCAGTGATTTCTAAGACCTCAAGCTAGGATAACGAGAAGCTCACAAGTATATGACGGAGCCGTCTATAGCCCCGAAACCTGTGAAGTTTTGGCCAAAGTAACCCGTCAGAAAAGTCAGGGGCAAGAAGATTATGGTGGCAATTGTCAGTTGCTTCATGCTTTCGTTCTGGTACGTCGCAATAGTGTTGAAAATCAGGTCTATCATATGGTTCGCCGATTCCTTGATTTGGTTCAGATTCTCGGTGATAAGGACGCAGTGATCGTACTTTTATGATTACTTGGTTAGCACCTAACGCAGGCCGCAGTCTTGGACAAGGGGAGTAGCCGATCACGAGCATTGCAAACGCCAGATGGTAATGTTGGACAAGGAGAGTACTACTTACCACATCGCCGAGGTAGGTATATGCCATTGGCGTTATGATGACGCCCATCAGCGGATTTTGCAGCTCTCGCGTTACCTCCTCGTGTGTCGACAGCTTCGTCTTGTGATCACGCAAGGCGCTGATGAGGGTCTGAATAGGGTTCACAAAGCTGAACAGCTTGTTGATCTCTGAAATGATGATGTATAGGTTTTTGGTATGACTAATGTTCGGATGGGTAAGAACGTCGATTTCCAAATCACCGACAACGTCAGCATAGCACGCAGTCACGGGAATGGCCATGTCGATGATGGCATCAATGATAGCCTGAGCTACCATGGAGGCATCGCAAGACTGGCGCAGGATCGTGGTGGGACTTTGCAGACGCGCGAGGATGGGTCTCTCGACGTCGTCAGCCGACTGCTCAAAGAAAGCGATCACGGTGTTGTCCGAGGTGATGAACATCGCCACCTGTTCGGCCATGACAGCCAAGCCCCTAGAAGCCAACGCCGAGTGCTTCTCCATGTACTCTGTCCTTGCAGTATTCGGTGCCGCGTGATATCTCTGCAGGGTGCAAATAGTGTTGGGATTGAACACGTCGGAAAAGCCGGTAGGCTGATGCGTGAAGCTGGTGCTAGAGGTCGAGGGCGGATTCTTCCTCCTCCTCCCGCTCTCCAGTACGCCGGCGGCTGTTGGATGCTGCCTCTTCTTGCCTGTAATCCATCGATTGACCTTCTTCACTGCGCTCTGCACGGATCGGTGACTCTTAACACTGAAGCCGTCGTCTTCGTCGTCGCTATCACTACTGCTGTCGTTGTCGTCCATCATACGCACCAGCTTTTGGCAAGTGAGAATGAGGAAAGCGTGGTTCGCATACCTTTTCGAGACAAACAGAGTCAGGCCATGCAATGAGGTTTGGGTGTGGAGTGCGAGCGTCACTCACCAGTCGGCCTTTGTGCGATTCCTCGTATTCATGATATCTTCGATAGCGAGCCTATGCAGGTTTTTGTAATTGCCCAAGGCTTGGATGACATCCCAAGAGAGGCCGTTGACGTTGATCCATCTACATTTGACCCACGAGGGCTGGGGCGCCTTGACGAAGTCGATGAGTCCGGCATTGTCCAGCTCTTGCACCTTCAAATCATTCTGCGAGAAGTCTACGACGGTGATCTGACATTCGGCATGGAGCTTGGGCATGGAGTCCTGTCCGCCATCAGGTTTCGAAGGATCAAGACCGGGCTCTGCGCCTGGCTGCCATCCCGGACGCCTTTCATAGTCCTCGTAATCATCGATAGTCACGAAGGTATTGGACCGAGTGTTGCGCCGCCGTATGCCTGGGCTTGGGGACAATGACGGCAGGTGGGGAGCTGACTGCGGTATAGCGGCGGTGTCGACGTTCATCGCATAGTGTACTCGTGCTCGGTTGGGGTTCGGTGGAGGGACAACGGTCGGGGCGCTCGCGGTCGCAGTGATTGAAGTGAGCCCAAATGGAGGTTGCGGTGACGGTGACGGCGATGGCGAAGCGATCTGGATGTCGGGCACATCAGGGAAGGCCTCGGTGGCGGTACTATCGGAGGAACTGCGCGACATGGTGGCCAATGATCACAATGATCACGACAAGATGAGCGGTATATACAATCGATGGGTTGTTGCATTGACGATGGACGCAGCACCACGACTCTGGCACTGACTGCCACGCGTATATTGATACCCTCGTGGGCTGGTAGTCTTCAGAACGTAAAAGGGGTGGCGCATGGTCGATCATGTAAGAGGAAGTTCAGAGTTGCTGGTTTCATCCGGCGCAAGTCGTTGCTCGAATCTGGATCGGACAGGGTCCATGGACCATTGGCCGCTTTCTCCGGCCGTTATTTGTCTGACAGCCGCCCGCTGCTGTGGCTGGCCTCAATGGCTTGAGGTTGTCGAATGCATTTGATGCCCATGGAGTCAACGAACACTGCTTCTTGAGCGGGATTAGAATAATAGAATAATAGAATAATAGAATCTAGGGCGGCGCGGCTGAGGAGTCCCGAGTCCGGAGCTAAGGAAGCTTTGTCTTCGCACTAAGTCTTGGCGATTCCATAATAACAACAACGATTAATTCTCGGTTGATAAACTGCTAATAAACGGTTAAAGCATTAGTTGAACGTTTATAACTTCGCTACTCATTAATAGGTTCTACACCTCGTCTCTTCAAAGCATTCGTTAGCTTAGACCTGCAATTCTGGTACGGCTCCCATTTGGCTTCGAACGGACAACTTGAATCATGGCCAATCCAAAAGATCATGTCTTGTATCATATGGCATGTACTGGCGTGTCTTCTATTTCACTTTCTCCAAGGTACTGGAGACTACAATTTCAACGGCGCGTCAGCCCTACAAGTGCCAAGCAGCCAAGCATCTGTCAAGAGACGGGCTGAAAGAACTAACCTAGGTAGGTATGTACCTTAATTGTATGACGTATTGGCGCTTTTTCGACTCCCTAGGTACCTCCCTGCCTCCTTAATGCCTTTGTGTCGACACATAACCCGTCTCAGCACCCCATACCAGTCTACTCGGAGTGAACATGAGCGCTTACGAAGCTCGCCGCCTCGAGAACATCAGGCGCAACCAGAGCCTCGTGAGGGACCTCGGTCTTGAGAATGGATTGGCCACAGGCGTCAACAAACCAGCAGTGATGGCACCAAAGGAACCTGTTGTGAGGCACCGCCGACGTAGGCAAGATTCAGTTGAGGATGAACTAGCCATCGCGGTCAACAACCAAGGAGTAGCACCAAAGAAGCCTACTGTGAAACGGCGCAAGCTTCTGACCGGCCAGCCCCTACGCAGCTCTGCCCGCATCGCCAGCGCCCCTTCAAGACCTACCTATAATGAAGATGCCGAGGACCAGATGCCTCCCTCAGTACGCGCGGCGAGAGGGAAACCAACGCCGCGCAGCACTCAGAAGAATGCATCAGTACCTATACCCGTCGGCCCGGAGGAACCAGCTACTCCAAAGCTCGAGACGATAATGGCCGGCTGGACTTCATGGACCCCCTCAGCACTACCCCCGACAAGGGACATCGAGGGAAATTACCATTTCGAGTCCCACCCGACCTTCACGCCCAACAAGTCCCCCGAGGCCATCAACCGCGAGGGCTGCTTCGGGGGCTCCTATTGGCGGCCGCTGTACTCGCGCCACCTGCGCACCACCATCTCCGACGACTGGCGCGAGCTGCCCGAATCCTGGGTCGCCGGCCTGTCCGTGGAACGCTACCTCACGTCCGAGTCGTATGATCCCGAGGTCAACAAGTACGGCGTGGCGTGCGGCCAAAGCATCGAGGAGTGGGAGGCGGCCGGCTGGATCGCGCACGACTACGACGTCCGCGGCTGGTTCCAGTGGTATTGTCGGTTCTGGCTCGGACGGCGCTGCGACGATGACGAGCGGCAGATTAGTAGGTGGAGGAAATGTGTCGGTGAGACCGGTAGATGGCGGAGGACTCGTAAGTGTCCGCTGAACTTCATTTCATCCTTTGCGCTGTGGTTCAGCTCTCCGGGTCATCGATCTGGATTGATGAGGCGCCCGAGGGCTGCGAACCACTCACTCCCCTCTATATCGACTTATCACTGACGTAGGATGTTGCAGTCCTCAAGAAGTATGTCCAGAAGGGCATAAGGAGCGTCACCGACGAAGGCGACGAGCTTGGTGATGACGAGAGGGGCGACGTGAGTCCAGTCGTCCACCAAACCTGCCACCATTGGGCATGGGAAGTGAGGCAAGAAGCACTAGATCGTTTCTGGGAAGAAGGGAGGTAACAATCTGTGAGCAGTCACAGCGGTTCTGGATCAAAAGGTCTGTACCTATCGATTCAATGCACACAACGTTTTCATCATGGTGGACCTGATATGCGAAGCCTGAAATGCGGGACCAACCCCACGGCTTCCCTGACATTGAACAGCTTGAATGCGAAGATGTAAAATAGTCGCTCGGAAGACTATTTATTGACCAGAGACACTATGGCCATGTGGTCATCAACGACGACCTGCCTCAGCATATACTTCCGCGTATGAAAACGATACGAAACGGCCACCAGCGACAAGGTCATACACAGCACCGCCGTGCCAATCATAAGGCCTGTATGCTTGCTGTGGTCAAGCGTGGCCCATAGGGAGGGGTTCAGACACTCGCTGGTCGTGATGTCGGGCTTCGAGATGGAGATCAGAGATTCCATGACCTTCCTGCGGTGCATCTGGTTCGGGAATGGTGGTGGGCATGACGCTGATATATATCGCGCCTCTCGTATCAGCGGACTCTCTCGATGCCCAGCGACGGACTGGTAGAAGCGGATGCAACGTGTTCATCAAGATTACAGTAGAAGCACCCCCCAGCAAGAGCTCGACACTGGCCGTGCGCATGCACACGTCATCCAGATCTTCGAAAGGCTAGGAGACGCATTATCGTGCTGTCGCAGCGGGGCTACACATCAGATATTGGTTTTTTTCCCACCTGTCAACGCAGGCGCCCGGGGTCACCGGAGGGAGATGAGGTCGACGATGCCTCCTTGGAGGCCTAGCATTGCACAGACAGAGTTGCTATACCCTTGAGCTGACTCGGCTTCCGTTACACGTGCACACGAAGCACTCGTCTGCTGCCATGGTCATGAAGGACGATACTTGCGCACATCATCACACCAAGACGCAGTCGAGGCACTTTCAGACCTCGTGTTGGGAATCCTGGAACGTGCGGAATAGGGGTAGATTCCCTTCATGCTAGCATCTCTGTGACGGCCGATTGACCTAGTCAGAGCCTGGAGATCGACGAGAGCCCATCTGACGGCCGTCGTCGTTCATGGCGCGTGACTGAAGCTGGGACTGACCGAGCATCACATCGCCGTCGCTTTCGGGCTAGTGAGGACGCCAACGCGAGGATAGGCGACTCAAGAGCGCATCATCCCAGGGCCCCAGCAGAAGGAGAGCGCGTCAGCAGAACGCGTCATCCAGAGCGCTTATGAGAGCGCCAACGTGGGCGCCAACGAGGGAGAGTCGGCTTCAGAGCGCGTCATTCAAGGCGTCAGGGAGTGAGTGTTTCCTTCACGATCACCTCTCACCCGATGACCGCGGCGCTGATTACGGCGCGCGTGGCAACGCGTTGATCGGACCCCCACGATCATCTCCCAAGTTCACAACGGCGCTCGCAGCAGTCATCTGTAGCGCGTGGCACCCCCACTAGAGTACAGCGCGTGGAGCGGCGAGCCCGAGGGCGTCGCCAGCACGAGCACCTTGTCCCCGAAAACCATGGCGTTCGCAGCAGTCATCCGCGGCGCGTGGCAGCAGCCGAGATGGCTCCAATAGAGCGCGTCAGATGAGTACTCCCCTTCTACGAGCACCTCATCACCCTGAAGACCACGGCGCGAGTTCGATCTACGACGGCGCGAGTGGCACGGCGAGGGTGAGGGCGTCGCTGGCAGAGGAGACGACGCCAGAGGACGTCATCTCCAGCAGATACGGCTCAGAGCGCGTCATCCAGAAGAGACGGATTCCCCTTCCTCTCATCTCCCAAGTCCACAGCGCAGATCACGGCGCGTATGGCAGTCACCCAAAATCCGCGGCGGTCCCCGAAGCGGTAAGGCAGGTATGCACCACAGGACCAGATCAAAAAATTCATCATGGATTACTGCAAAAAGCTCAATCTATTGGACGGTAACGTGCCTTGACCTGAGCGAAGCCCTATCCACTTGCATGCTAGCACGTCCCGGGATCGAACCAGAGACCTACGAAAAACCCCCGAGAGGATTTTGTCTCATACCAAACTATACCAAGAGGCCTTAAGGGTTGACGTTGGTACAGGGCGTCGGTGAAAGATGGGCTGAATTTACGGTACATATGGGTTGGGGGTCTGGTTGCTGGGGAACTTGACCCCCTCAGAGCGTTCGCAGCAGTGATCTGCAACGCGTGGCAGTCATCTTCCCCTTCCCCTACTCAAAGAGAACCTTCCTCGGCAGCCCTGATCATTAGCGGATGAGGGCGAGGAACGAGTAAAAGGAAAGGATTTTCATGAAAATTTCCACGAAAGATCAGTCCGCAACGCGAATCTGCTGCTTCGCGGCACACACCTCAAGTCTTCCTTGCAAAAGAAGCACACCCCGAACCTCACGGCACGTGGTTGCAAGTCATACACAACAGCACGTGCGAGCCCCGAAGCCCTAGCCCTCTCTCAAGCGATGCTGGCGCACAAGTCCTCCGACCGAAGGAGGCATCGAGCATAAGTATTTCTTAAGCGAGAAGGAAGCACCGAATTACGCGTGGTAGTTACACCACGGCAAGCACCTGAACCAAGTCCTCGCAAGGGTCGCCTAATTAGCAGCAAAGCACCGGAACAAATCCTTAACAAACTAAGCACGAAGGCTTTTAGCCGCTGAAAGTAAAAACATACGTGTTGGAACAGGCTTGAACGATCAATCATAATACTCGAGTATGGGGTCAAGGTCATGATGTTGCTGATGGTTGGATTGGGAGGTCTAGCTGGACCTGAAGGTCTGGCTAAGTGACCTCGCAATCCGGTATCTAATCACTTATCTAATCATACATGTGGGTCCTGGTATAGATGGTTTGCAGGCTGGAATCGCATGGATCCAACAATACGCGTAAACCTTTGGTAATTATCGACTAAATAGCATCAAAAAAAGCATTATCACTACAAAATGTAATAATCAGTTAGCTGCTAAGGCACTATTATATATATATTATAAAAAATAAAAATAAAGGCCTATTGCCGACGACTAGGTACGCCGCCATATCGACGAGAGATACGGAAGAATACAAATATCGGAAAAAAGCAAGCTCTTCATCCACGATGGTAGCAAGCACGTGCCAAAAAGCCCTTCGACGAGAAGTCACGGAGCCGTGACGATAGCAGACGACGTCGACCACCGAAAGGACATGTCACAAGAAGTGAGCAGCTGTAAGAAGATCCTCACGAGCGAGCAAGCTAGCACGAGAAGCGATCTCTTCAGCGGGAGAAGCGACCACAATCCCTGTTGCAACGATGGCAAAGGCACCAAGCAGCTGAAAGCATCGGAGTCATCCGCGAGCAGTAGAGGACCTCAGCAGAAGGGGCACACGAGTAGCTTGATGGCAGCAGAGTCATCCGGAGCGACCAGAAGTCCTCTCGCCAACGCGGCAGAGGCACCAGAAGGAGAAGAACTCCAGAGCATTAACGGCATCCCTTTTTCACATGTCACGAATGCGAGAGCTCCTCAGCGGGGGAAGCACCAGATCCTCAATGGCACCCCCTTTATTATGTACGGAGTCCCACGAGAAGTCCTCTTGCCAACGCGGCAGAGGGACGCAGAAAGAAGTCCGCCAGGTCACAGGGGGCACACGCAAAGTAGACCTCCACAGAGGCACGCGCACACAACCAAAGATAAGGGCGCTTCGGCAAGCGAATGGATGGCTCTCATACCAGCATCAAAAGAAGCCAAGGTCCTCAGTCTGAGAGGTGGACCCCTAAACACGAAGAATTCATGAGCCACCGAAGCCCGTCTAATCGACGACGGCATCACGAAGTAAGAACATCACGGAATACGGCGTTCAAAGAGTCAAGAGACCCTCACGCAGCACGGCATTCGGAACCGATTGGAGTCTCTCAAGCCTGTTGGAGTGGTTGGAAAGGACTGAACCTCGCAAGGCTATTGGAGCCTTTGAAGGATTGGGAGCCCATCTGGAGGGCAGTTGGCAGTTGGCTAGTGGCCACACCACAGAGGGATTGGCACCGCAGGGAGGGATTCTGCCGCAGCACGGGTAAACCGCTTTCCTATCCGAGGGATGGTATCGCTGTCGGATCCCAGTTTCAATGTGTTTTCAAGCTTCTCAAAGCTTAACAGGGCTATCAGAGCCATTGGATTTATCAGAGCCATCTGAGCAGTCATGCAGTTAAACGCACGCACGCAACGCAACAGAGGATTCTGCCACGCCGTCGCGTTGATCAACTTCCTATTCGAGCGAGGAGGAAGGAAACCAGGGAGACCAAGGAGACCAAGGAGACCATATGGACCAGAGACCACCCTCAGCCATGAGCGCGTGTAAGGATTTGGTGGCTTTGGTGGTCACGTTGGGTCAAAGGGTCAAAGGAAAGTAAGAAGGGAATCTACCCCTACTCCCGCACTTACCAGGGTTCCCGACACCTTGCTTTCAAATCACGGTGGTCGAGGATGATCGTCTGGCACGTCTCATACGGAACGCAAAAAATCAATAAGCATTAGAAGTGGCGTATCACATTAGAGCTGCTATACCTGTCTGCTTCTTCCAGTATCTCCAAATTCTGACGTGTGATCTAGAATCCCTTTAACATAGCGCGTACGGAGACTTATGAGGGCTAAGTGTAGCCATAGTCTAAGAAGCTGCTCACCGGCCACCCGTTCAGCACGTTGAATTCCTCGAGCTGTGTCGTCCCGTGGAGCACCTGATACTTGGCCATCTCCCCGCAGCCCGTGGTCGAGACGTTGTTGCATTGCCGATTCTCGTCTCCTTCGTCAAGCAGGCCCGCGATGCGCATGCCCACATCACGGCCTTCGAACCACGCTCCTTGAAGGAACCCGAAGTACTGTGCCGACGTCGCCTCGCCCGCGAACCAGAGTCGGTCCACGTTGGAGCGAAGGTTCTGGTGCTTCTCCAGCGTCATGCCAACGGGCCAGTTGCTGTAAGAGCCAAAAGCCCATCTGATCGGGACTGTGAGTTAGGGTTGGAGCATTGCGGTTCGACGGATGAGCACTCACTCTTCTGTACTCCATCTCGGATACATGAAGTCAATCGGCTCCGGAATGTCCTTGTCTGGAAACATGGCCCTCAGGACAGCCATGGCCTCCGTCTTGGTCTCTTCGTCGGATTGCTGCTCGACACGATACGACTGGCCATCGACCAAGGTCACGAATATGATGTTGGAGCCTTCATGAAACCCCGGGCCCGTGAGCGACTGCCAGACGGGATAGTAACCACGGAAGTTCTCGTCGGCATAGAGGAAGAACTCGGTGTCCAGGTCCCAGAAGGCTTCGGAAAACTGCAGGAAGATCTTGGTGTAAGTGCCCATCTGAAACTGTTCGATGGCTTCCCGCTTCCATCGAGGCAGCGGCGGATCGAAAGCGACCACTTCGTTTTGAAGCACCCCGAGTGAGAATGTCGCGATAGCGTCTGTGTGAGTATCAGCAGAGATCATTCATGCAGGTCTGCTTGATCAAGCTGAAGCTCGTTCAAGAGACAGTCCACTCACGTTCGGCCTCGATACAACCTCCTCCATCCAGACGTACCACAACCCCATCAGGCCCGTACTCGATTGACTTTACAACCGTGTTCAGGAGGAGCCGCGAGTCATTGTGCGTCAGGAACTCGTTTGCCTCGCCGATCACAAAGGCATTGAACCCCCTCTGGTCCCACACGAAGTTGTTCTCGTCACTCCATTGATAGAAGCTCAGGTTGTAACCGGTGATGCCGAATAGGAAGCCGCTCTGCTCGGGAGACCAAGACGTCTCCCAATCCCAAAACCACCACTCGAGAGCCTGGGCTTTCATGTCCTTGCCCGGTTTCCAGCCGGCCAGACTGAACCCGGCTCGGGTGCTCGTGTCCTGCAGATTCTGATTTCACATTGCAAGTCAGCAATGGCCATAGTGACTGGCTGACGGCCCCAGCTGCAGCGCGGAAGTCATAGCGAAACAAGCAGCGCAGCCGGAACTTTGGATCCGTATTTCACAGAAAAAGATCTCAGAATGAATAGCTCGGAATCCTCACCTCTGTGAGGATGTACCCCGCATCTTGTTCAGCAATCGTGTAAGCTTCCTCAAACTTGTCGAAGAGACCCCCAAAGTCAGCCGCACCAGATTCGTCGTAGGTCAGTATGGAGCTATAGTTCGAATACGTATTGTCGAGCCCGTACTTCTTGGCCAAGGTCCATATGGGGTTCTCGGGACCTCCCTCAATACCCAGCCCCTGAACCCAGTTAGCACCAAGCTCGACCGTGTACGGCGTCCCATTCGGCTTCGTCCCGAAGCTCGTATGCGCGACACGACCGCCGATGTAGTCGTTGCGCTCGACTATGATGAAGTCCGAGATTGACGCGTTGGAGAGAGCCTGAGCAGCCGTGATGCCAGCAACGCCAGCCCCGAGGATCGCAACCGATGTCTTCCGGCATTGGCACGTTTCGTTACCTTTGGGATAGGGGGACGCTGCCGACCTGGACACTGCAAGGGCACACCAGGAGGCGATGAGCTGCCAATTGGTGGTCTTCATTATTCCTCGCGGCGCGTCGTTTCGATCTTAGACGCAGTCCCAGGTCACGGCTTATCCAACAAAGGGAGGCGCCGTACCGCCGATTTAAGACCTCTACCCCCAGGCTACCAGATCAGAAATAAGGGCCGCAAGCGTTCAAAGCCAGCCTCCATGTCTCACTACAGCTTACCGAACGCCTCTGCCTAGTGATAAGACATAGCAGTCTGATAACTGCGGGAGCCCTGCATGAGGTGCCACGAATCCTACCCTGGGACCTTGGGGCTAGGCGATTTTGAGCAGCTCGTCGCGAGGATCGTACCTCTTGCAGATCGTGGACCTCCATTTTCAGATCAGATAAGACAGTTTGGATCCTGATGGGCCAAACCTGACTTCATTACTTGAGAGCCGCTTGTGCAACACCTCACTTCGTCCATGTTGTACTGGTGTCAGAGTAATATAACAGAGGACTGCTACCGATATTGGAAAGGGGCGCCAAATTTGAGTTGATGTAACCGAACGGTACATCGTCAACTTACCACATTCGCAAAGTGGCAGGAGATGAGAAGCAAATCAACAGTTGAAGAAGCCGGACTTGGTTGACCAGCCATTACCAGTTACGCTTTGTTGGTCAGCTTTACGCTGGTGTTCGTTTCTTAATGCTAGCGGCTTGAGTACAGGCATAGAGGCGTCATTTCCATGACGAGAAGGATATTATCATCTTAAGGGTTTCTGGTACACCAAACCCTCATAACTCTTCGTACGCCACCCGTCTAGCACACGAAGGTACATTTGGTCTCGGGCTGTGTGGGTGCCATTGTGTCGTTTGATGGGGCGCCAGCAGAGGGAGAGACGGCTTCACAGCGCGTCATCCAAGGTGCCATAGCGAGTGTGTGTTGCCCTTCCGCGAGAGCCTCACACTCCAAGTCCACGGCGCAGACCAAGGTCCGTGGCAGTGCGAGAGGGCGCCGACGAGGGAGACGGCTCCAGAGTGCGCAGCAGCAGATGAGTAACCCCCTTCCGCGAGCACCTCATCCAACCACCCAAAGTCCGCGGCGCTCGTAGCGATCATCTATAGCGCGCGGCAGTCACCTTGAAGCCCACACGGCGTTCGCAGCAGTCATCTGAAGCGCGTGGCAGTCATCTCCTCCTTCCCATCGGAGATCATCGGAGATAGCTTTCCTCAGTAGCCCTGATCATTCGCGAATGAGGGCGAGGAACGAGAAGGAGAGTGGATTTCACGAAGATTTTCACGAACGATCAGTCACTTCAATGTGCGATCACCCCCCAGTCTTCCTCAAGCAAGAAGGGCTACCCTTATTCCGCACGTACCAGGATTCTCGACAATGAGTATTAAAAGTAGTGCATCAAATTAGAGCTGCTTATGCTTGTATGCTTATTTTAGTATTTTGACATCTTTACAGGTCATTTAGAATCTTAGCAACATAGCGTGTAACGGACTCATTTACATCTTGTTTATCCCAGACACTCGCGATAGCTTCTCAATGGTGCTTGGCTACCTAGATGGTGCGACGTGGTAACGATTCGTCAACGCAGGTAAGCTCGCCCTCGCCGCTGGCATCTCCTGATTCAGGCGCCCCTGAGTGGCATCGACTTTATTACCTACGACCATGAATATGGTCCACGATAACTTGGTCAGCTGCCGATTCGCTCAGATATATCATGTCTTGTTCGCGTCTCTGATAACTCCCTGAGTACCTAGACGAGTCCCGTGTTGTTGCACCCGCCGACCTTGAGAGCGCCTCTTCAGGTCAGATCCTCATATTGAGTGAGGAACGAGAACAGAACATAAGATCTGTGTGTCTCTAACACTCTGCCCCCGAGCGTGGATGTCGTTCTCGCCATGTCATTTCTTTCAGCGTCTTGCCCTATCATTACTCCTCTGCGTCGCAGTTAGTCACACACATCCGAACGGTGGCCATCTCAGTGGTTTTAACCTGGTTCTAGATCAACTGGCACCCTGGCTTGAGATTGAAGCCTTTCCTTGCTGTACCACAAAGATGACGTGATAATCACCCTTATGCCTTGCAGGCGCCGTTAGCAGAGGCTGGAATGAGACCACGGGAGCAAGTCAGTGATGATCGAGTTCGAGTGGCCAGCTGTATGAGCCATTGCTTCCATCATACCACCATGTTTAGTAGGGGAATGCTGTTCGTAGCATCTATGAGACGAACATGTTGTGTTTTGACTTGTGTTGATACGTGCCACGCTTTCACAATTCCCCGACTTCATACTGTCTTTCATCCGGAGGCGGCCGCGGTCCCGGCCGTCCATTCCTCCAGTAAGTCATCCGGCCGTGAATAGTAGAATGGTTGAGACAACTGGGATGGAAATGATCCTCGACGTTTCCAAACGGCCACATCGCGATGAAGCACACTTCGTCCGATTGGCAAGCACCACATTCTTTCCATGTTGACCAGCTCAGCACATCCATCAACTCCCTGACGATGTCCTTCCCGGCATTAAGTGAGGACTTATCTGCATCTGTGTCCTCGACCACAAGCCGGCGGGCTTCGAACAAGGCCGTACATATCGCAGTGGTTGTGCTCTCAATCGCGGCCTGTATCAAGAAGTCTTCGGGTGTCTGTGGGCTGGCAGGTTGCAGGTAAAACCCAATACATCGGCGCTTCGCTGCCTCCAGCCCCTTGTCATCTTCAGAATAGTCGATAAAGACATTCAGGAGATTGTTGACCTCGTACTTGAACACATCAAGAGACGCTGTTCGAGCCATGAGAGGAAACCGGTTAGCATAGCGTGAAACGATCATGTCGACCACGCCTTGCCAACCCACCCTCCGCTCTGCGGTTCCCCGAGACCTCAGCGTCGTGTAACCGATATGCTCTCTCATTATCTGCAGTTCCCAGTCTTTGGAATTAGTCAGTCTCGGAAGCTCAGGCCTGTCTGGCTTTGGATTCGTCAAGTTTGCTGGGTAGAAGTATGCAGAAACCATAGACGAGTAGTCGAGCATGACGCGCGATGCACCGATGTCGTGATACCGCTGCGCTGCTGCTCTCGCCCACGCAAACGTCATTAGTCCTCCCCATCCAGCTTCCGACGCATCTGCGTCGACCAAGCTTCCGGGATCGTTCATCTCGGGTTGTTGGTGGGTCGAGACGAGCCGCAGCCCCTCAGTGAAGTCGCAGTATATAACCTCGAATCCCGGTTCCATGCGGATGAATCCATCTATCCTCCACGGTTTCGCTAGCTTGCAGAGGTCCTCAGCTCTGGCCCAGTCATTCATGGAGTGACGTTCTCCTTGATTTCCAGTGAGAAGGTAGTCCTGCGTATCAATTGTGCCCATGTCAGTCTTGCCGGCTGCCATCCCATCGATATACAGAACTCTCAGTTCCCTGGTCGCTTGGTAGAGGTGCAAATGACCTGACTCCGATGGGTCAGGTCGTCCTCTCGGTGGCCGGCCTAGTTCCCGCGCAGCCAGATGAAGTTCCAAGGGGTCGTGATCGTGAATCGAGTGCCATATTTGCTCCTCTTCATGGGACACTCTGGGCGGGGGACGTCTTGGTGGCATTGGGAGGGCGAACTGCTGAGCATGCTCTATTTCAAAGGCAAGCCATTCGAAAGCGTGCGGTACGTCTCGCGTATGGGTTCCGTGGTACAGTAGCACACCCTCGGGTATCAGAGCAGGGAACAGTGACATCCCGTTGTGATTGAGCGCGGACCCGAACTCACGCATCGCGTTGTGTATGGCGTTGAAGATCTGAGGCCCATTCTCGCGGGCGCTCTCCAGCTTTGGCCTGAAGCTCTTGTGGTGATCAGGGCTGTTGGCGACAGCAAGGCCAGCAGCCACCAGAGCCAGCACGGGGCTGGCGATCATGTCGGCTTATCGAACCTCAGTCTGAGTCCAAAGAATTCAGATGAACGAAGTCGCGGGATTTTGAAGAAGACGAGGTCTATCATCATCCCGAAAGGACAATGAAGCCTTGTTGGCTGATGTCTGTACGACTCTGACTCTTATCGAAACGCGCGTCCCCTTGCTTGATAAGTTGATGCGGGCTGACGATTCACCAGCAGGGGTTTATTTATGGGAAACCAGCAGCCGATTGCCATTGGTTCGGGCTGCGACGCCGTCGCTGGCATCCCGCAATCCCCATAGCATGACCAAGTCGTCGGGAAGGCCAGAAGAAGAAGACACCGAGGAAGGTTCCATGATCGCATGACACTGTTTCGTCCTGTTCTATCTTCTCCGTTCCAACGTTTTGCAAGTCTGACCCGCGGTTGTGTCTTTTCAGCGGGCAGGAATTTGCAAGTGTGTGACCCCTTTTCTGTGGATAAGTATTTTATGATATTGTTTAACTACCCGGGTATCCCAGTATTGAACTGCTGTCCTGGAGTAATCGACCAGACCGAAGTAAACAACTGTCACAGATGGAAGCATGAACTACAGTTGACACAAACCACCGTGATTATTGATAAGTACAAAGGGGGTTTCCTTTGTATGCAATGCCACAGAGCGATAAGCTGGATGCTTATAACGGCTAGGCTACCTTATCAGCTTATGCTGCTTTAAGCGGTGGCGCTTATCGGGCATGTGACGGGACCATAACGTCATGTGTCGCGGCAGCGCAGCTCTCCATTGTGATCATTGTCCCTGACTGCTTGTCACCTGGCGGCTTTAGCCAGCAACCTGGAACCACCAGTCAATCATCCCTACATCGGCATCGCGAAGTCCGATCTGATCTTCAGATCTGAGTTTGTTCATCTCAACTACATGCTGATGAACCCAACTCAAAATGGTGAGTAGTCCCCCCACTTGAATTGGAGACATTGGACCAGCGTCCAGTGCCACCGTTCCTGTCGCGCAGCCCTGGAGGCTGGAGACAAAGCTGACGATGCATTTGTTTAGGCTAACGCAACGACGCCTCTCCTTGCCGACGACCGTCGCGGTTCGCACACCGGCTCGGACCACATGTCAGATTCTGATGAAGATGCTCTGCGAGGGGAGTCCCGAGCAACCCATAGCGGACGGTCGTTCTATGTTCGTCTGCGAGAATCCCTCCTCTTTGCCTGGGCCTTGCTAGCGACAGCAGGCATACTGGTCATGGCTGTCTGGGTGTCGCACAGCCAGCAAACTGCCTACAACAAACCTGCTGGAAAGCGCAACCTGATATTTATGGTGTCTGATGGCATGGGCCCGGCTTCCCTATCCCTGACCCGTAGCTTCAGACAATACACCGAAGGCCTCGAATATGACGATACCCTCACTCTCGACAAGCACTTCTGGGGAACGAGCCGAACTCGGAGTAGCTCCTCTCTCGTGACCGACAGCGCCGCTGGTGCAACAGCCTTCAGCTGCGGAAAGAAGAGCTACAATGGTGCAATTTCGATGCTGCCCGACTCGACCCCTTGCGGCACTGTGCTAGAAGCTGCGAAAAGAGCTGGATATACTACAGGCTTGGTTGTCACGACAGACATCACAGATGCGACGCCGGCTTGCTTTGCCAGCCATGTCGATGTGCGATCACAGAACGACGACATTGCTCTTCAGGAGGTCGGACATGGGCCTCTCGATCGAGTCGTGGATTTGATGTTCGGAGGTGGCAGGTGCCACTTTCTACCCAACGGCACCGAAGGTGGCTGCCGTGAGGATACAATAGATGTCGTGGAAATGGCACAGAAAGACTACGGATGGAACTACATCAGCGACAGAGCAGCTTTTGACGAATACTGGGAGGGCAAGAAAGAGGTCCCGCTACCGATGCTAGGACTCTTTGCCGACACAGACATTCCCTTCGAACTAGACAGGCGGAACATGAACGAGATATATCCAAGCTTGAGCGAGATGGCCAAAACCGCGCTGAGAGCACTGGAGAAGGCGACGGAAGACAGCGACAAGGGCTTCTTCCTGATGATCGAGGGTAGCAGAATCGATCATGCTGGGCATGGTAACGACCCTTCAGCTCAAGTTCGAGAGGTCCTCGAGTACGACAAGGCTTTTAAGGCTGTACTAGACTTCCTGGATGAAAGCAAGACTGATGGAGTCATGGTGGCCACCAGTGACCATGAGACTGGTGGTCTATCTGTCGCCCGTCGTAAGTTCAACACCGCCTCATTATGACTTCAGACCAAGCTGACGAATCGATAACAGAGGTCCACGTCAACTACCCGCAGTATCTTTGGTACCCTGCTGTTCTGGCGAACGTCACGGCATCCTCGGAACACCTTGCCCGCCAGCTCCAGGAGCACGTCGCCAAGACATCATATGGCGATGATTCTATCGAGAAGTTGATGAAGTACATCAACGAAGAACTTGTCATCCCTGGACTTGGAATATCCGATGCCTCGGAGCCAGAATTGACGACACTCGCGTTCTACCCGGATCTAGCCCAGCCTGCGTTCGCGAACATGATCAGTGTTCGTGCGCAGATTGGCTGGAGTACCCATGGCCACTCGGCTGTAGACGTCAACGTCTATAGTTCAGGCGGCCCTGGGACAGATGCGATTCGGGGCAACGTAGAGAACACCGAGGTTGGCAAGTTTTTGAGGGAGTATCTGGATGTCGACGTAGAAGCCGTCACGAAAGAACTCAACGAGAAGTCAGACCCGAAGCCAAGACTTGGCTTGGTCGGCCATGAACTAGCGGTAGAGATTGTGAGCGAATCTGATACTCCAGAGGATCACTGGGCGGCGCACGAGGAGATGGAGCAGCACAGGATAGAAGAGGCTACCGAGTCAGAAGATATGGATTCTTGAGGTTTGAAGGGAATGTCTATCATAATGCGTGGAATTTGTATTTTCTGCTTTTGGGTTATTGTATTGATATTCCTGCGTGCTAGTCACAAACGATGTAGGCAGCATCTACCAAATGAAGATACCCGCTTGCGAAGCAATGCAAAGAAGACGCGGAGAACCACAAACCCGGGCTTCTGGAAGCATGTTGACCGCAGGCAAGACCAATCGGTTGTTTCGCCGTCCCGTCGCTAGAGACGGGTAGCGGCAGACAGCCATCCGGTAGTACCCGATGATACCAGAACCGGAACGCCCCTTGTGGGTGTATCACAGATTGCTTTGCGCAAGGGAGCTGGAAGGGCAGGTGAGTTTGGCCATGATACCTCCGGTCTATGCCTGCCATCCGTGGCACAACCGCGCTGCAGCGTGCCGCAATCCCTTCCCTGGGCGGTGAAGCTGCTATGCAGGCTGTCGGTTTAATGCGTATGAGCTCTCGACCAGCATTGAATCTATTGGATGATGACTGCATTGTAAACGTATATCATATCCAATCAGCGTATGAAGAACTGGAGCCATGTTCTCCTGACCCCTACGCCTGCGAACTGGGCACTCGACAATATAGACGTCCCATCCCGTGACTTTCAGGAGGACTCCTCCAACACCAGAATCATCGACAAAGACCAAGCCTGAATAAGATGTGTGTGTTGACAGTATAGCACGCACCGTAAACTTCCGACCACTTCCACTCCCTGCCCCTGACTGACTCAGCCCTGACCCTTCCCGCCAGATGAGACCCCAAACACAAGCTCTCAAGTTTGTCCAGAGGCAGCCAGTCAGTCATCCAGCCAGCCCAGATGGCCATCCCGGTTTGTAGGAAGATCCAGGCATGCTTTGCTATCTACAGTCACCCCTCACAAATCTCTGTCCTGCATGACGCATTCAGTTTCTGGACATTGATAAAACTGGTCATATTCATGGACCGAGCATACCAGTATAAGCAATTTACATACAAAGTGACCTTTGATGCTTATACCAGCGCCATTGTTCCACTTACAATAAACACACCTTCCGCTTAGTGATTGAGGGGTGTACGGAGACTTCTGGGGGTTCAGTGTACAAGCCATCCTGTTCATGCTCTCGCTGACACCTAATAGTGGAAGTGCTCGGCTAGAAGCCCCCTCGCAGCTAGCTCATGCGCAAGCACACCAGAACAAGGCGAGACGTAGGGCATGTGTGTTTCCATCTGGACTCCATCTTCCCTTCCTCTCTTTCACTTGCTGTGTCTCCGTCTGGTTCTCGGTCTGGTATGATTGTGCGCCCGGTTTTTAGCGATGCGGTGTGATGATAGTTTGAGATGGGACAATCAAGCCGGTAGATACGCGATGCCTCCTCCCCTCGAACAGACGGACGGAGGGCGGCCGGAAGGGCCTTTGCTTGTCACGGTCAGCGGCTGAGATCGGCTCTCTGTATTCTTTTCGCTTTTCTCACCATCTTGTCATTCTTCTTAAAAAGTTGCTTGTGGTTTACTGAGTTGTAAGACCGTGCTCGGTATATACCATTGTTACTCACCGAGAACACGACTGGCTCTAAGATACGGGTGTGGCCTTTGGTTCCTCGACGGGTTGGGATACACGATCTTCCGAGGACGGACTCGCGATTAGATATACTCTAACTATTCAAGCACAGCGGGTGAGCGAGGAGAGAGCGAGGAGAGAGCGAGGAGAGAGCGAGGGGAGGGAAAGGAAGAGTAACCGAATTCGACGCCTGCTCGACCCGTACACGCATGAGCACAAACGACTGCCCTCGGATAGCATCTCGGCGGGACCAGGATCGAAGGAGGCAGCTCTTGAACTAGTATCGCGAGGGCCAGTCGACCGGGCACAGACGCTACGAGATACCCCCTTAATCCAACGGCCGCCCGTAGAAAGCCCGAATCGAGCAGTGGTTGGACCACAGGCTAGCCAGCTCCCCTATTGTGGGGAGGGTGACCAGAACTCCGGCTCATCGATTAGCCACCAAGCTCAGCAACAGTCAAGGACCCCTTCGGATACTCTACTACCAGACTGCCTCAAACTATCAAAGCCACGGAGCGGAGAGTGACCAGGAGCTGCAAATTGCCCTACCCCTATCTGGAATAAATCATCAAAGCTGACCTGGACCGCCCATCTGGGCTCGAACGGCGACCACTACGACCACGTGCCTCATCTGAAGTCCAATCACAACATAAGACGAAATTCCACTGGGAGAAACCACCCCTAGAGCTCGCCATCGAAACCAACCCCTACCTATCCGAGCACCCCCGATCTGCCTTCGAGCCCCGGACGAGGAGCACCAGCACGCGAAGCACCAGGAACGCGCCGCCTGATTTAGCAACAGGTCTTCCCCAGAACAAATCCGACTTCCAACAACCCCGTCCGCAGTCTCCTACCCACCCGAGACCACCCACACCCCCACACACCCACACACCCAACCAAGACCATACGACACCAGACCACGCCAAACCAAACGGGCAGCAATGTGCCTCTACATCCTCCTAACCCCTCTCTGCGCGCACGCCCCGACCCTCCTAGCCGGGCCGTCCTGCCCGCGCGTCTGGGCCGAACTGAACCGGATCCACGGCGCCGAGGCGTGGCGCACGGCCGAGGCGCGGGCTTCGCTGCCGTTCGAGTGGCCCGACGCGTGTCTGCCGCGCGAGGGCAACGTGCGCGTTGTGCCCACGGGCCGGTGGTGCGGGTGGGAGTGTCGGAATAGCCATTCTCTTGGGATGGAGGAGGGGGCGACGGGACAGGGGAGTGATGGCGACGGTGGTGTTGGTGCTGGTGGAGTTTCAACGACGGAGGGACGGATGGGGGTGCCGGGGGCGAGATACGGGGTTGAGAGACCGGGCGTGGGATGGAGGGAGGGATGATTGCCCCTTTTCCCCAGTCGGAGTCGAGCAAGTAGGCGATGTACGATGAATGATGAGTTCTAATCTCCCAGTTCAGCTGTTTGTCTACTTGAGCTGGTTGCTAGGTATTCTGGATCAAGGCGCACTGGGATGACTGATGAAAGCTTTTTTTGTATTAGTTACATAACGTTGTACCGATTTTTGTCTATCGAGCGTTGTGGTTGTGATTGCTACATAATCCTCTGTATGCATTGCCGAGCAATTACATAACAACTGCTGTTTTCCCCGAATCATCATCCTCAGTCCGAGTCGGAAAAGTCTCCTTCGTGTAGCTCATCCGGGTCGTTCGGAAAGTGGATCACGATTCTTCCGTTCAGAGTATCGGCAAAATATCTCTCTAGCCATTGTTCCTCTTCTTCGGTGACCCTTGCACCGGGCCACTGATTCAGTATCTCGACACGGATGCCTTGGTGGGCAGAGGAGTCGAGCCTTTGTGCAAAGTCTTTGAGGCTGTCGAATCGGAAGGCTGATGTGCCGTTGATCGATAAAGCCTTCAGCTTGGGGATTGTGCTCAGGGTTACCAGGATGGCTTCATCGAGTAGATCGCCTCCAAAGCTGAGATATTCGATGTTGGGCAGGGCTGTGGCGAATAGTCGGATATCAGAGGACGAGACATACGCTTGCAAAAGATCCAAGGACGAGAGACTCTTTAAGCGACAGAGCGACTCCGTCAGTTGGGGGGTCCGCGTCACAATCAGTCCATCGACGATTCCGTCCTGTTCGTTGATACTGAGAACCTCGAGTCGATTTTGCAGGCCTAGCGAGGCCCAAGCGGCTCTTGTGACCTCTGGGGATGCCGACGAAAAATCCTTGACGTGGAGAGTAGTGAGATGAATGCCTGGAGCTTCCATAACTTCCTTCAGGATGGCCAGGGCATCTTGAACGTGAGTAAGAGTCAATTCCCGAAGTGATTTGCAATTGCTTATCCATGTCGCAACCTCCTTGACGAGACTCTCGCTCAAGGCTTCCGAATCAAAGCGATCGTTTTCGATATTCAAGATCTCCAAAGCAGTGCAGGGGGAGAGCATATTGAGACCTTGCATGGCCAGCCGGGACAGGCTAGTAATCGTGAGACTTCTCAAAGACTCCGCGTGTGCAGTTAGAGCGGTAAAGGATTTCTCGCCGAGCTGGTTGCGGCTCAGGACCTCAAATTTCCGTAGGGTGTTGGGACGAAGCGTCTGGAAGAAGGCGGCCATGTCCTCGTCGGCACTACCACTTTGGTAGTAGTAGCAAACTAACTCGCCAAACTTAGGGCAACACTCAGAGATGGCGCTGGCAGCTTCGACACCGAGGACCGACCCATCTCTCAGACGCAGAGATGTCAGTGTGCCTAGGCGAGTGATCCATGTTGGTAAGATATCGTGAGGGATGAACACCCCTTCCAAGTGAGTCAGCGCCACCGCGGTCCCATTGCTATCGGCCAGCTCTCTGATGTAAATAGTGATAGAGTCGACACATTTGACCACTGTGCGATCCATATCTATAGGCAGAAACGAAGAGTTGTCGCGTGTATTTCTTGTCGGAAGGCCGCGCAAGACCAAGAACTGGTGCATGGGGCCGTCGAAGAAGAATTCCCGGACAGCCTTATCGGGCCGCATCTCCTCGAGGCACTCCACCAAATGCCCCAGCGACAGAGCGCGTACGTATGCGCAGTATGGATATGCGGTCATTCCGAGGCTAGAAAGGACGATGGACCTCCATAGTTGGGCAGTCTGAAGTTTTCCATCTGGAAACGTGTCGGCTTCGTCGCGCACTCTAAATTGGGTGTCAGCCATCTCGTCTCAGGATAGTAGATATGTCACGGCCGTACCTGTAGAGCTGCTCGAGAGCAATACTAGCAACGCGCCGGCTGACACGAGAGAGGCAGAACAATGTGGCGAAGTCGCGACGCGCACCCAGTTCCTGACATAGCAGTAGAAGGATATCTTGAGGAAGAGGCAATGGCTCCATCTCGATCTTCTACAGCAACGCAGTGGACATGCGCTGCAAGCAGGACTGGCAGGGGCACGGGTTCCAGAGTCGTAATTGAAGGGGTCTGAGAATGTTGATTACCTATAAGGTATCGAATAATTTAATGAGCATGGAGTCTGGTGTGTGCAGGGCGTGATGCGAATATGAAGGAACGAAGGATGGGCTCCGAGGTGGAAGCTGCAAGCTGCAAGCTGCAGTATGTTGACAGCTGAGCTTCATCATGTGTCATTCCAATCCCGTACTGTACGACACCTTCTATCAATATATCTCAGCCAATCCGGGGCCCTCAAATAGCGAAAAGCGGGCACATACAAGGTTCAGAGCTCGCGAGTGTCTCTGCAATACTGACATCACGCACTGTATGAGCTACCCCGCGACGCGCTTCTGTCAACCTACAGCTCTTCACGCGACTTCGGATATTCTGCATCTCGTATAAGTACTAAGGTACGGCAGTAATGCTCCTAATCCCTGCACCGACTTAATATTATCGTCACTGTCGTCGACGGTACAGCTGCAGATCATGAATGCAACCCCAAATCCCAAGGCTGCTTAGAGATACCCAACGAATCTCGCGCCGAGTCGTCATCTTCCTAACAATCGTTGCGGATCCGGCATTGGTACGCGAACTTTGACCGGCAACGGCTGTATCGGGTTTGACAGCATGGGCTAACAGATTCAAGTTGATCGTTCAACCCCAAATTTCGAGTGCTACAACTGTGAGGACCTACAAGCCGGCTGTCGAACCTAACACTTGTTTCATTGGTGCTACTAGAACCCACGGGCGTTTTCTCCTTATACAGAGTCCAGCGCACCCACGACAGGCACCATGACCGTCATGAGATTCACCCTTAGCGAAGAGGGTGTCAGTGCCTTAAGGGATGCGCTGGCTTGTCTCAGCAAATTCAGTGAAGAAGTGTCACTTGAGGCCAAGCGAGACAGGGTAGGACCCGTGGTCGTTTCCTCTACTTCAATCACTTGTCTAACAACGATACCTTGGTAGCTGGTGTTCACGGCCATCAACTTGTCAAAGTCAGCATATGCCTCTTTCGCATTTGCATCCCACCGTTTCTTCTCCAAGTACCAGTACGAGGGCATAGCACAGCATCGCGACAAGTTCTTCTGCAAGCTGTACAACCGAGTAGGTCATTCGTATCTTGAAGCTTCCCCGTTTCCCTATCTTCTCATCGTCCTTTAGGCCCTGCTATCCTTGTTCCGCAACAGGAGTGGCGATCCCCTCCACGACAGAGAGAGGGATACCACCATTGAGCGCTGCGATGTCGCCATCATCGACGAGGCCGGCAAGAAGAGTAGATTCATTGCCAAAATCGTGTTTCGAAATGGTGCGTCAAGTCCTCGGTGGCACATGGAATCTCGCCAGTTCAAGACTAACCTGCAAAGGCATCACGACCAAGTACCAACTCCCTTTCGAAGTCAGTCCGCCCGTCCATGCCAAGTTCGAGGGGGATCAAGCTACGAACAGCTGGTCCATCTCATCGCGAACCTTGCGCCAGCTCATGGACCACTTCGGCCCCGGCATAGATTACCTGGACATCCACTCCGAAGATGATCAGGTTGTTAACTTCACCTGCTTCACCGAGAAAGTGGCAAATGGTGAAGGTAAGCCAACCACCCCGACCAGCTTGCCATCGGGACAGCAGACTAACTACCCCTTGTTACCAGAGGTCTTAAAGAAGCCCCTGCATACTTCGATTGCGGTAGAGCGAGACGAGTTCGAGAGGTTCACAGTCGAGGAGGACAAGCTCCATATTGTCATCAGTGTCAAGGACTTCAGGGCCATCATCCAACATGCAGCGCTCCTTGGCAGTGAAGTTTCCGCCTCTTACTCTATGCCGTCCAAGCCAATGCAGCTCAAGTACGATGGCGACGGAGTCAAGTGCGAGTTCCTGCTCATGACAGTGGGAGAACGCGGCGCTCCCGGTCAAAAGGGTAAGAAGACGCGAGGCGGTGCGAAGGCACCCACGGGGCCGCAGCTCGAGGCTACCACGAGTAGAGCGAATTCACATGCCCCTACGCCCGCTCCTCAACCAACACCTCAGCCGCAGCCACGGCGTCAAGATCAAATGCCATCCCTAAGACCACCCATCACGCGTCCCACCCAACGTCCACCTCCGGCCACCCTCGAGTCCGAATCGCTTTTTGTGCCACAGGACAATGACGACCAATGGGCACCCGTTGGGGACAATGAAGACGAAGACGAGGAAGAGAATGACCGCTTAGGATGGGATGCTAGTGGTGATCCTGTAAGCTTGCCGCCACTTGACCATCTAGCGTTTGCCCTACACAGAATACTGACTATGGCATAGGAACCAAGTGCGATGAAAATGAGGTCCATGATGAGCAATCCATCTGGTGTACGGCCGCGAATCGAAGACGGGACGAACGACAACCCATCCCAATTCGAACCGACACAACGACTTTCGGATGTCCGCAAATTTGGGCTATTTGGCGATTAGGAAGGCGTCGAGTAGAACCTCATATTTGTGTGGCTTTGGCGTCTGAGAAATCTTTGCATAGCGAATCTGCTCCGTGCTTTATCGATCTGATTGATGGATATGGGGTCAAACCGAACAGGGTCGACATGTTCTAGAGGAACATTCCATCAGCTGCGATGTTGATCCAGCTTGTCGCACATCCTGCTCCAATAGCTGTGATACTAGAGCCTTCCGATAGATGCTTCAATGATGCAAGCACATTCCATCGTCCCTTAACGTCTCCAGACTTCTCCTCGGACTGTGGTCCGCAATTCCCGTGTTCACCCCAACCCCAGGTCAACACGTCCCCACCCTCTGTCAGAGCTAAGACGTGTTCGCTGCCGGCTACAAGATGCGTGATGGGTGGGAGACCGGGTGGCGGCATCTGACCGTGGTCGTCTCTGCCCCATGCGACCAGAATTCCGTTCCGCTGAAGCGCGTATATGCTTCCCCAGCAGGCGCTCATGGTCATCCAGTTGGGCACTTCGGCCGGTGCGGTGCTTTTCAGTCCCCATTTGTCTGCCCCAAGGACTGCAATCCTGCCATCACCTGGCTCGGCGATGAGGCAGGTAGTATACTGGCAGCAAATGGCCTTGGCGACTTTGAAGCCGATGCCGTCGAGCATCCGGCGATGTTCAACAACACCTTTGGGATTCGCCATGTCGTCCATCTGTTTTTTTGGTCCCAGCTGTCCTTTCCGCCCATTGCCCCAGCCGTAGACATCTCCATTGTTTAGAATGACAACGACGTGGCGGAATCCGGCGGCGATGTCTTTCACCTGCGTACCAGCCGGGGTATACTCGTTTTGTATCAACGTAGGCTCTCCTCTCGCTGGGTTGACCGCTCCAACATCTGCAGGCCCGCAAGTGTAGATTCGGGTTGCCCTCCCGTGCTCGTCTTCCACCACAAAAAGGGACGCATCCCATGTGCAAGCCACATGAACGATACGCCCAGGCGGCCCCGTCAGCGACAGGGCTACCTCGCGGAAAACCGACAATCCTGCCTCGGAACTGGTATCGACGATTCCGCATGCGCCACTTGATGCATCACCGCTCCAGTAAGCTCTTCCTGATGCCGTGAGCAGGATCGTATGGTTGCCTCCAGCTGCGACTTGGGTGATTGCATCCCTGGGAGGTTCGCCGTCAAACTGGATTTGCTTCGGCACGGAGACATCTTCCTTGTGGCCTAGTCCCAGCTGACCTGAGCCATTAGAGCCGAGCGCGAAGAGGCCGTCCATAGTATCTTTGAACAAATATGTCGTCTTATGCCTCCCGCCTGTGAACACTGAAGGGTGGTCGCCCAACTCTGAACAAAATGTTCCTGTTCAATGTGGCTGTGTGGCTGCAAGCTGCACCAGCCACACAATTCGCTGCGGCGCTCAAATTTGTCCGGCAACTCAGAAAGCCCCACTTCGATTCCCTGCACAAAACTGCTGCTCCCAAATTTATTTTTCCATTCCACCACCTCCCAGCTTCTCCTTCCAAACAACCACCGCTTGACTCCCACCTTTCCTCCGACTCACCCCGACCAACTCGTGTCAGCTGAGAAGGGCACAGGTACAAGAATGTGACACCCTCGCTCTCGTGGACTTGGGATACTGCGGCTTGGTCAATTGTACCCAAAGAGTCATTCTTCTACTAATTACAGACAATGGCGACGTCCACTATCCCCAGCGTGTCTCCTGGCATGGAGAGCTTCATCGTCGGCATTATCGGCATGGGCGACATGGGAAAGATGTATGCCCGGAGGCTCAGTGACGCTGGTTGGAAGTAAGATTTCCTGGCGACACCAAGCAGCAATTGCTTTGCACCTGAGCCTCCAATAACCAATTGGTAAGTCGATCACCCCATCCATTCACCCTCCTCCCCCACTGCAATGATGACTTGAGTGCATTTGGCTCGAGCATTGCCCTCAGCTAGCTGGATCGGCCATTCTGGTCCCCTGTGCGGCTGTTGGTTTTCCATGATGTAAATTCTCAGCTACCTTACTATTTTTTGTCTGAAGCACAACACAACTACACATTTTGTTGGCAACTCCTGTCCGAAGGCATTGGGCTAACAAGCAATCAACAGGTTTCGATAGCGTGCCATCGATCTCCATCATAGTTCCATCGACGTACTGACGATATACTTGCGGGCAGGATTATGGCTTGCGACAGGGATGAACAGTATGAGGACCTACGTAACGAGTTTTCCAGCAGGGTGAGAACATATAGTGATCTGTTCTCACAAGATCCCATGCTGAGACATGATATAGACCAATATACAAATTCTTCGCAATGGCCACCTTGTATCTCGAGCGAGTGACTACATCATTTACAGCGTAGAAGCTGCCGCCATCGACCGCGTCGTTGCCCAGTATGGCCCTTGTATGCAGCTGATCTCTCCTTACGAACCAAGATACTGTGACTGAAGTAGTGTTCTGCAGCGACTAAGCAGAATGCCATTGTTGGCGGCCAGACATCCTGCAAAGACCCCGAAATCAAAGCTTTCGAAGACCACCTTCCACCAGATGTCGATATCGTCTCTTGCCATTCGCTTCACGGTCCGAAGGTAGATACCAAGGACCAGCCATTGGTAATACGCCCCAGCCCCAGCATCACTTCAGTTAATGATACCAACCATACACATCGCAGGTACTAATCAAACATCGCGCGTCGGACGAATCCTTCCGGAAAGTCGAGACGGTCCTCCGCTGCCTGCAGTCGAAGCATGTGTATCTGAGTGCGCACGAGCATGACCGCATCACAGCCGACACGCAAGCGGTAACGCACGCGGCCTTCCTCAGCATGGGCAAGGCCTGGCACTCGATGCGGCAGTTCCCTTGGGAGGGCGCTCGCTACGTCGGCGGCATCGAGAACGTCAAGATCAACCTGACGCTGCGCATCTACAGCCAGAAGTGGCACGTCTACGCCGGTCTCGCCATCCTGAACCCCGAGGCCCGCAAGCAGATCGACCAGTACGCCAAGTCGGTGACGGAGCTGTACAAGCTGATGCTCGGCGGGCATCATGCCGAGCTGCGCGAGCGCGTCCTGAAGGCCAAGGAAAAGGTGTTCGGCCGCAACAACGCGGCCGGCGGTCCTCAGTGGGAGGACAAGCCGCTCCTGCGCGACACGGTGCTGGACCAGTTCAGCCTGGGGCGCACCGAGCCCGGCGCCGACCCCTCGACGCTGCTGCCCAACAACCACCTCTCGCTGCTGGCCATGGTCGACTGCTGGAGCGCGCTGGGCATCGTGCCCTACGACCACATGATCTGCAGCACGCCGCTGTTCCGCCTGTGGCTGGGCGTCACCGAGCACCTGTTCCGCGACCCGGCGCGCCTCGAGGGCGCGCTGCGCGTCGCCGTCGAGGACAACACGTTCCGTAGTGACGACCTGGAGTTCACGTTCGCGGCGCGGGGGTGGGCGGAGTGCGTCGGCCTGGGCCACTTCGAGACGTGGAAGGAGAGGTTCGTGGCCACGCAGCGGTTCTTTGAGCCGCGCTTTGCGGAGGCTATCGAGGTTGGTAATGCGATGGTGAAGGCTGTGCTGGAGAGTACCAAGGCCTGAGATTTTCAGGGGAAACCCGCGGTCGTCGGAGTGAATGGGCTCTCTGCAATGTATTGTCATGTGGTCAAGTATAAAGTATTTACACGGCGGCTAATATATTGATACGATGCCGCCTAGTATAACAAGATTCCGATATCTGCTGAGTTTGAGGTTTGTTGGTCAGTATACTCAGCCGCCCCGGGGCCTCTGACCCCTTATTTCTAACCACCTACTTCTGACCACATGGTCCCTGTAACTGTTCTCAGAGCCTTTCCCTTCACCTGCCCCTTGTGCTATCCAGCGGAACAATGCTATGTGGCTACTGGTAACTGCATATTGCAAGACAGGTACACCGAACCCTCACAAGTCTCCGTACACCACCCTTCTAGCAAACAACGGTACATTCATCGAATCGGAATAAGCACGACAGAATAAGCATTAGAAGTGGCGTATCAAACCAGAGCTGCTTATTCCTGTCTGCTTATTATGAGATTCCAAATTCACACGTGTGATTCCAACATGGCGCGCACGGAGACTTATAAGGGCTAAGTGTACCTATTCGTCTGGCATACGACCACTCAAGAGTCAGTTGAGTGATGGCGGTTGATCTGCGGCTTATTGAATAGCAGATTACTTGATCACTCCCCGGCCACGTTGTAATTCACGACTCGAAGGCAGAGACGCGACAGCCTCGAAGTTAGCTCTCTCGGTAAGGTTCGTATAGTTGGTCCAGATCTACAGGTACCTCAGCCTGCCCAGTTGTTTGACAGGTCGGATAGGAGAACTGGCAGGCGTTAAGTTGCCACTTAGCCAAGAAGTTCAGAAGGAGTAGGTAGACGTCCAGAGGCACGCGCAGTAGTCGTTCCTGCACGTTGGATCCGGCCGTCGGTCTGTGACCTACCTCATTCCGTCCGACTTCGTTCGTCTGCTTCTTCTCTCCCTCACCTTTTCACTTCACTTCTCCGAATCACGTCCGGTTCATGGGGTCCCGCGGAAGAAAAGGTTACTTACCTACCAGATGGAAGTTATTGTGTCTATTCCGAACCTCGAGATCAATCGAGCGCAAGCTGAGGCCGTCCGGTACGTTACACCTTGCATTAGGTAGGTAGTCATTGAAATCTTGGCTAACAGCGTACTCATACTGCAGATTCGCCGCCACGTCGACCTACAACTAAGTCGATCTTGCCCGGCTGCCCTGCCCGGCCTCCATGGCGTCGTAGTCGACGCTGTCGGCATTGTCGTCATCACCATGATCTTCTTGCTTGATCTCCACGTCGGAGTCTGTCAAAACGACCATTTCCGCTTGTTGTGAAGATCCCCTGTCGTAAGTAAACATGCTCTTCATGCAGCAACAAGATCAGCTTCCAACCACCATACAAGCTTGCAACCACGAAAGCTTGCAAGCCTCGGCAAGCAGATACACACACACGAGACAGGCAAGCCCAAGTCGCTTTGGCGGACCTCGAGTCCGGCCAGGCTGTCGCTGTTAATGGTGGCTATGGTGCTGTTGCCGGTGCTGGTGTGACGGCAAGAATATAAGGGTCATTGGCGACCACCTTCCTCACAGCCCCCAAGACGATTCGGATGCGATACCGGGCCTGGTGCTGTTCCGCCCGCCTTTTCTGCTTCCTCTTCCGGCACAGCCTCACCCGGCGGCGTCTGGCAGCGTGGGGGTTTCCCGTCCGAGGGCTTAGGGGGTTGGGATTTGGGATTTGTTAATTCTAATGTACCAATGTACGGATAAAGAAGTGGTCTAGAAGGTCAGGATGATACCGCTCAGATCAAAATAAAGCAAATAGACAAACCCCTCTACATATTGCTGATACACGGACATCATCACCCTCATCACTCGGCACCATCGTGGAGCCGATAATACTTTTACACTTAGGCGCCATCCCTTCTAGAGCCCTGCCCTTTTAATCAACCTGTGGAACCGGCTACACCCGACCCTCCGAAGTCTTCCATATGACACGGGCCCAGGCCGAGATCTCTGTCTCTTGAGCCTGCCGTTCACTTCATCCAGTCTTCAAGCCCATACCTCCAGCACCAGACCCAGCAGAGCAATGTTTCGTGGCCAACGCAGGACTTTGGCCCGGCTCCCATCGTTTCGAGTGGAACAAAGAAGTAGGTCAGGTGCTTATGGCACACAAATCTTCCGTGTATAATCACAGATTCACGCGATTATACGAAATTTCCCAAACGGGCATTGGGGCGGGCGACCTTCTCTTCTGCGGAGGGCTTCATTCGTCACAAGCTAGAAAAATACTTCGTCGCTATGCCCGGAGGCCCAAAAAAACCGGAACTCCCCTAGTAATAGCTGCCCGTCTCGGACGGGTAACCGCCGCGTTGGCAGACGCCGTCGGCAGGCGCGGCACCCCTGGCACCCGCACCGTCACCGCCACTGTCGCTGCCACTGTCGCTGCCACCGCCGCCGCCCGTAGCCGCGGCACCGCCGGCCCCAGCACCGGCACCGGCACCGGCACCCGCAGCACCGCCGCCAGCACCGCTGCCCACAACGGCACCACCCAGACCCGCACCAGTGACAGCAGCGCGCCCACCGCCGGCAGCAGCGCCACCCACGACACCGCCAGAGACCGCAGCACAGGCGCCCCCAGCTGAGACAAGCGCAGCCGCGACACCACCACGACCACCCGCGAGAACTGGCGACGGCAGCGGCGACGATCGTCAAAGCCGGCGGACCCGGTTGTAGAGGCGGGCCGGCCAGGGCTTGTCGGCGGTGGCGGAGTCGGCCTCGCGAGCCACCCACTGCCCGAACAGGAGCAGCAGCGCCGTGACCAATGCCGTGGCAAACGGCAGGAACCATTGCGCCCAAACGGGCAAGCCCTTGGCGGGCTTGGTGGCGGCGGCGACAGCGTCGGGGCAGTCGGGCCAGGGCGTGGGCTCGACGCCCGGGACTTGTCTGAGAAGAGTTAGCGGGTTGTCCCAAAGAAAGTATGTTTATTCCATTGAAAGGGTGTGATTGTAGTAGGTCACGTACGAAGCCGAGCTGCTCGGCATGGTAGTCTACTTATACGCAATTAGCCAACAGATCATCTGTCAATGGGAGTCTCAAACGTACCGACCGGAGAGAGGCGGAGGACGGAGAGACGGAGAGACGGAGAGATGGAGAGACGGAGACGGAGACGGAGACGGAGAGGCAGAGACAGGGGAAGACGAAGATGCTGGCTGGTTGGTTGGTTGGTTGGTTGGTTGGTTGGTAGGTTTTTTATACAGCTTTGCAAACTTCGGTGGTTGCCAAAGAACAAAAGAAAAGGAAGAGGGAGGGAGACGCGAGAACTCAGGTTAAATAGGACAATGCAGACGGCGGGCAGCCAGACACGAAGGGCAATAGTGACAGCAGCACTTGACTCTAGACGTGTGCTCCTTTTCTATCTAGAGTCGGAACGAGCGATTGCCCAACCGCCAGCTGTGTGAGGCTAGTAGGTTCAGCTACCAACTAAGGAGCGCGCCTCCTCATCTGGAATATCGTGTTATGTTCAGACCTTTTGCTTTGGCTTCGCCGTATCTCTCCCCCGCCATCTCTCAGGATCTGGGGACCTGCTGCAGCTGCTCGCTAGCACCCTCATCCACAGACGACTCCTTCCTTGTGTATGTGTGCCACCCGTGGCCTGGTTGACTTCCTCCGTGCGTGCCGCTCGCCGTAAGAGGACTTCCGTGCGTGCCTCGTTGCCAGAGGACTTCTCTCATTATGGTATTGATGCGCTTGCTCCTTGGATGCTGTAATCACGAAAACTGAGACCTCGCTCCACGCCTGCTGTAGCTACAGCTACGCCACTCCACGAGTCGTCTCCTTCGCAGCGCCGTGTTCCGTATCGACCTCTCCCGCTATCAACGTCTGCAATTATCGTACCCTCACGCTTCACGCTTAACCGTCCTTCACGCTTCACGATATAAACCAAATGCTATAGCCATTGCCTCCAGGTTGTTACGGATACTCTAAGCGTATCATAACCAAGCCCGCTCACCAGCGCTCCGTTCTCTCCGCGCATCGTTGCCTCGATAGCATGCGCCCTCATCACCTCCGTATTACTCAGGGCCATCGTCTCCATCGTCTTCATCTTCCTCGTCAGCTCGAATGGTCGCTTGGTAAATGTATCGAACGCGTCCCTCAACGCCAACGTGGCCTCGTCGTATCTGTGTGCTGCTACTACTGCTAATGATGATATTTCCTTCAGGGCTGTCACTCTCGCAAGGTGAACGTGCTCCGTGCGCAAGGGGACCATCCATCCATCCAGCCAGCTGCCACCCAAGTGCCTCCAAGGGTAACGGCGCTAGCTAGCACGCGTGCGGTCAGGCCACACGTCTAACCGTGTGGAACCTCATTTGCATCGATTTCCCCACTAAAACTTCTAATATTTAAAACTTTATAATAAATGAACTAAAATAGGTATAAGCTAAAAAGGAGATAAAAAGGAGATAAAAATGAGCCAAACACGTTATAATAAGTTATTAGTTAACGTAAAAAAAGTGTTTTAAAAGAATATAACTTGATTCAAATTTTTTAATATTAACTATTTCTAATATAATATAAAATAACGCATAAAATTAGAACAAGCTGATATCATTAGTTTCTACATTTGATATCGGAAAACAGCATTTAAGAATTAATGTAAATAAAAGGTTTAATAATATCCCTTTTGTTGGATCAGACTTGAACGATCATAATACTCGAGTATTAGGTCAAGGTCATGATGTTGCTGATGGTTGGATTGGGAGGTCTAGCTGGACTTGCAGGTCTGGCTAAGTGTTCTCACAATCCGGTATATAATCTCTTATATAATCATACATGTGGATCTGGTATGGATGGTTTGAAGGTTGGAATCGCATGGATCCAACACCTTTATAATTAGCTGTTTGAAAATTATTATATTAAACAGGGTTTTAGTAGTAAAAAACACGGTTTTAAGCTATATCTCGTTATATTAAAAAGCTATCGGTAAGAGAATAACATTATTATATAACTAGAAGTGTATAAAAGAGGCTGTATTAAGTAAAAAAAGGTATAGTAAAAATGATTTCTTATATAACGAGATATATTATTATATAAAATTATTAAATAAACTACATAAGTTATAAGTAAAGAAAATATTTAAAAAGTATAATCTCTTCTTTGAAAATAATATAACTAGTTAAAGCTGGCTTATTTTAATAGGAAAATAGTTACAAATAAGGGCTAATTGTAAATAAGGTTTTACATAGTTAGTGCCCGTTACCTGTTACCTGTTACTTGTAAACCACCTATCTGCCTTTAGAATTTAATCGAAGTTGAAATTACTATTATAAAATGGTGTTAATATTAGTTTATATATTAATTATACCGCTTTTTAATATAAATCAACTAGGTTAAAAATGAATCACTTTATACTGATTTTAATTTAAAGTTTAATATAAGGTTGTTGGAACAGGCTTGAACGATCAATCATAATACTCGAGTATGGTGTCAAGGTCATGATGTTGCTGATGGTTGGATTGAGAGGAATCTAGCTGGACTCGAAGGTCTGGCCAAGTGCCCTCTCAATCCACTATCTTATCTTATCTAATCATACATGTGGGTCCTGGTATAGATGGTTTGCAGTCTGGAATCGCATGGATCCAACAAAGGTTAATATTATAATAATTAATAAAGTCATTATTTATCACGTTTAAAAATTTAATTTAATATTAAATATATATTAAAGTATAAAGATTTACTTACTTATTAATTTAGTATTTAGTAAAGCCTTATTTATTATTTTAAAAGTTATTGTTCTAATACTTTGTTTCTTCTTCCAATTAATTATTTTAAATGAATTAATTTACCTTATAGCCGTTATTATACTTATATGGCACTTTACATCTTATACGCCTTTTTAATGTTAAATATAAGCATTTAGCTTTATAACATTACTCGGCGTAGTATTAGTTAAAAGTCTTATTTTTAATAATTTACGATTTTTAAATATCGCTCGTTCACATGGTTTCATACGCTTATTTATTAGATTTTTATTAATTGAAATTATATATTTTCGATATTATTAGCTTTATATTATTTTAACGCACGTAATTATATGTTATTTCTACGTAACGCTTTGCTTTATTAAGCTTTAACGGCTTAAATTAAAAGATCGTGCTAAGGCTATATCTTAAGATCGTATTAAGATTTTTAATTTTCATGTTAATTTTTATCACAAAGTTTTTTTATTTAAACGACGTTATTAGTTAGTTTAACCAAATTATTAGACTTGATTTTATAGTTTTTTATATAATAAATAATCTTAATTTAAGATATTAAAAGATTCCTCAACTCATTATTTAACATAACGTAGCTGACAAGCGAGTTGACATTACAAGCGAGTTGGCACTCGTCATGAACTCTCCAACTGCCATGTCAAATAACTTCATCACAACGCATTCAGTTCAATTCAATCAAGCGGATTCCTCTTGCTCAGAGGTTTCTATCTCTATTGTACAAATTCGCGCATTATGGCCAGTATTGCCGCAAATGCCACACCGTCGCCCACGCGCTGCCGCCCGCCTTGGACGACGACTACCTTCACCCATTTCCTGTTTTGCCAGCTCAGCACCATCCTTTGCAGCCTAAAGATCTACTGTATCTTTAACGGAAAGTACTCCTCCTTTCATTAGACCTTTGTTTTTTGTTCTCTGGCGTTTACTTAATAGATGATTGGCCTCTTCTAGTTCGCGGACCCAGGAATCAACCAAAGCGACCTTATGCATAAGACCGTATGTAGCCTTCGAAAACGAGCTCAACGCATCAATTATTGATGTAGGTGAGCTTCCCTGGTGGTTTCTGACTCGGTTTCGGATATAAACCGATTGGTTTACCGCTTTGTTAATGGTGGTAGGCGTCTTCGAAGTCCAAGTAGTGGGTGGCAGATTGGGGTCTGGCGACGGTGTTCGTATGACAGCGACAGCATCCAGCTTTGAAATGACACTTTCTGGGTCAAAAGGAACAAGCCCAGTGGCACTGAAACCTGCTCGAATGTTTCCTGGCGTTATAGCAGCGTTGTGTACTTCACAAAACGCTGCAAGGAAGTCCTCCTTCGAAACGTGGGTTATATGACGCCGGATAAGATCCTCAATCATGCAACCGTAAGCTCGTTTGAGCGGGCTAAAACAGCCGACATCTAGAGGCTGGAGCCTGTGTGACGAGTGGGCAGGCATACAAAGGGTGATAATGCCGTTGTTCTGACAATAATCCTCAAAGACCTGGGAATGGTGGCTTTTGTGACCATCTAGGATGAGGAGGCGTTTACCGGCAGTCATACGCGGTCTGGTATACTTGTCGAAATGCTGAATCCATTCCAAACCAATCTCATTCGTGGTCCACCTGTTGTCGGACACGGCCACCTTCCAATCGCGTGGTAATATCGTGTCGCGATACCATGACGCGAGGTGGGTTTTGCCCTGTAGAATGATGAACGGCGGGACCACCCAACCATCAGCATTAACAGCAGAGATTGCTGTAGACCATTCCCTGTTGCCTTGTTGAGCTTGTCTAGGCCTATCACGTCTTTCGGCACTTATAATGACTATGCCAGACCCAATAATGTCTATCATAAACCCAGTCTCATCAAAGTTATAAATATCCGCGTCTTAGATACCATGTTTTGCGATTGCTGCCACAACTTGGCAAAACCACGCGCGATACACGTCTGAATCTTTGTTCAAGACCCTCTGGTAGTCCATCCTCCGATAAAAACGCGTCCGGAGGCCTGGTGTACGTTTGATAAAGTTCCGCGTCCAGTTGTTTCCAACGCATCCAGCCCCACGCGCTGCCAACAATTGATTTGCCATATCTTCAACATAACTGTACCGGGGCGGAAATGCTCGCGCATCCAGGTCGAGAATGAAGGAACAAATGGCATTCTCTTCGGAAACCATAAGTTTCAAAGTATTGGGCATGCTGTCGCGTCGTGATGGCATTCCTTTGACTCTATTGCTCAAAGTGGAACGAGGGACGTTGAAGAGTTTTGCAAGCTGAAATATAGGAATAT